ATCCGATTAAGGCCTAAGTAATAAGATTTTTCGTCGCTTTTTGGCAGGTTTACATTAGTTTAAGAAATGATCATACTAAAAACTTACCTTTTAATGTGTCGTAGCATGTTCATTTAATATCAAACGTCGCCTTTAATAAAAAAATATACCTTCTCCAATTACACAATTTTTTTTGCGCACTGTGCCGTTTGTGAGTGTTGCCGATAACTGAAATACAGTTTCATAAGTAATTAATTTACTAATATTAATTTTATGTGGGTGTGCAGATAACATCAATTAATTGTTCACTTTGTACACATAAAATCGGAAGAGTAAACTGGAATCTGTTTACTATTTTATTTTTATGGTTTTTAATGTTTGCCCAACTATTCACAATTAATTAGTACGGAGTATAAAATGTATGTGCCAATATTACGAGCATTTTTATAAAACACGAATAAGTAGTATAATAAATAGAAGATGAAAAATATATAAATTTGATTTGGAAAATATAATCGTTTCTTTTACAGAAGAATGTATCCCTTGACAAAAAGTAAGAAGTTATCTATTTAATTAATTTTCAGCAATGTTCTGCAAAGGTATTTCCATCCAATAATACTATATTCTAGTATGGGTTCAGTAACATTTAATTTTAGCTATAACGTATTTCTAGTAAACATTAAACTTAAATCTTTTTAATTTTTTATTATCTAACTTTTTAAACATCGACTAACTAAGATGAGTACTTTCTGAATATGTTTTTAAAAATAATACCCATTTTCTGTTATAATAAATTTTATCAAAATTTAATGATGGGTTCAAATCTATTCCAAAGTTATTATCCAAACAAAGAAGCTAACAGTAATGTTAATAATATGCTTTATACTTACCTACTTATTATAGCATAATATAGTTTATTGTTATCAGGTTTCTTTCTATATTAAATAAATACGGATTATATTTTTATCAACTACCCTTTTTCTGTATGTAGATACTTAAAATTATAGGTTGTTCTCTCTATAAGCTGTACGGATAAGATACTAAAATAGAGCAAACATCTAAGTACCTCTTGAGACGTTTATTGCAAGTTAAATATTATACAGCAATATCGAAAAGAAGTAATATAACTTTTACGAACTTTTGAAATAAAGTCCGGTTAAAACTAAACTTAAGAACTGTGAATCGCTGCAAACATGAAATCTTCAGGTGCTTATAAAGTCATAAACCTAGAGAAAGTTTATTAAATTTACGATACTAAAATATTCATAAAACTAAAGAACAACAATATGTTACTTTGTATCCTCAATAACGAATATCTTCGAATATTTGTCGACATGTCCGTTGAAAAGGCATATTTTAAATGTCAATTCTCTATACAGGGTGTTCTTTCTTTCACAATAAATACTGTAAATTGTATAGGTATTTGTAGAAATTAAATACGTTTTGTTTGAAAAATAAAATTTTAATATATGTAATAACTAACAAATGTAGTAAGATCTATTCTACCGCGTGTCCCAGAATATGTGAGCATTAGACAATCTCTCGGATTTATACAGGGGATGTTGAAATAACATGACAAGTTTCTATAAAAATTTTCTCTAGAAGACCCTACAGAGATACAGGCCCCTAAAAGACGCCCCTGAAAATCTATTTTTTTTTATTACTTTTAAAATCCTTCATGTAATTTAATTATTTTATAATGCGATGGACAACGGATAAGACTCCTTAAAAATTGACCCATGAAAATAATTTGGCTTATTTGGTTTGCCAGGGACGAACTGTGGCACAATAATGTCAATTTGTTACAATAAATGCACAAAAATAATATTTTTAGATAGCTTTAACCTTAAACTAAAATCACTCTTGGTTGATATCGATACAATGAACTGTTTTCGAGAAAAAACTATTTTTGTTTAATATGATTTTTATTATTTACATAATTTTGTATGTCGGTTCAACTTGAGCTCCTTCTAATGTTATACATTCACTAGCTCTGCGGATTGAATATTGTTGGATCCTCTGTTCTCCATCGTATTAAAAAATTATTAATAATTAATAATTACTAAAAAAAAAATGATTTTCAGGGGAGTTCTTTAGGTGCCTGTATCTCCTCTACGGAAAATTTTTATAGGAACTATTCATGTTATTTTAACGTCCCCTGTATAACTCCGAGAGATTTGCCACATATTTAAAAATAAGCTTAAAATATACTAGGTTTGAGTACATACCTATTTCTCTAAAACTGGCCATTTTTGAGAGGTGTAATTTAAACTAAATTTGAATTACACGTAAAAAAACAAATATTAATCTTTTATAAATTGAAGTCTATTAGAACAATTCTAACTTTGTTCAAACTTTCAATTTTCAGTATACAGTGTAGGAAAGTACCGATGGTCTATCAGAAGTTACGTGAGAGCGATAAAGTAAGCCATAGAAATCCATGTGATAAGCAAGGGTGGCTATAATGAAGGCGTCTAATAGTCAACGCTCATTTCGCCCTTCCACAAATAAGATCCACTTCTTATTTGTGGAAGGGCGAAATGGGCGTTGACTATTAGACGCCTTCATTATAGCCATCCTTGTCTATCACATGGATTTCTATGGCTTACTTTATCGCTCTCACGTAACTTCTGATAGACCATCGGTACTTTCCGACACTGTATGTAGGTATAATGTGCTGCATTTCACAAGTGAAGTAGAAGTTTCTCAAACATAAAATAATCATTGAATTTCCTACGGAAGAGGGCATATGATGCGTTTAGGAAGATTGCAAAGAATCCTGTTCATAGATAGGTACCTATTCCTGAACAACTTCGGCAATAACAAATATTTTTTTATATCTTATGTTGATCTGGATTAGATCAAGAAGTATAACAAGAAACCACTACAACACTTTGTCGACGTTTCATCGTTTTTATTACCTCTTCAGGAGTCTATGCGTTAGGTTTTATATGTTCTCAATTTCATGTCTAAGTGTCTTTTCGTACAATTACAAACTTTTGACTGATGAAACCTAACAGAGTACTTAATATGTGGTAAAAAAACAGTTAAACGCTAGCAAAGCATTAACAGTGGTGTTTTATTATACTTTCTGAGTTAATCCAGATAAAAAGTATTTTTTTTTTCTTTTTGGGCATACGCAATATTGCAATAGCTATCGAGAGTATCGAGACGCTGGTGCCAGTGCATTCAAAAGGAAGAACACTTTGTAATTCATTGTTTTCTGTTACTTTGTTATTGATTATTAAATTTCTATGTATTTAAATTTGAACATTTCTCGTATTATTTAAATTTAGTATAGTGGTAGCAGGTGCCATCTCAAGTAGAATTTACTTGTATTCTTGCGGTACTTTGGACAGAAATCGGAGATATCTTTACCTCTTCAATTACCTTAAAGATCAACTTTGAGATGCTGTGTATAGATGGCGCCAGTATCGAAAAACTTTTATAGAAGACAACTATGATTCCAACACCTAAATTTATCTTGTAATTTGAAACCGACATAATTTTTTATGCAAGGTATTCGATGAAAAGAGACATTGAGTGAAAGTTTTATAACGGTTAAAATAATTAATTAATATACAGGGTAACAAAAACAAAACAAAAAAAAACAAACTTAGAGGATATATAGAACGCAAAAGGAATGGGAGTAAGCCATATAATTGAAATAGGTACCAAGAGGTTGTTCGAATTCCAGAAAACATTAATTTTTTCGAAATATCTATCAAAGCGATTTTTTGAGAATTTAAAATTTATTATACAATAATTCATTATTCAGTACCTGCTGTGATTTAGGGTAATAACTCACATTTTTCAGTAAAATGTCTATAAGGTTATTTAAAATTAAAACTCACTTAAATAAAATAAATTATCAAAATTAAGCTGCAATTTGGATTTTTTTTAACGTGAAAAATACAATTATTATAAATATTGTGTCCCGGAGTGGATAATTTTGCAACATTTCTTTCTGTTATTGCGTTAAAGTTAGTTCTTCCCCATTTTTCTTTAAAGTTATTAATTAAATTCAAATAATATTAATTGTCACACTGTATTAGAAGAGATTTATAATTTTTATAATCATATGCTCATTACTACTGAGGTTGGTTCGTAATTTTTTGTTAATTTTGATATCCAGCCCTACTATTTGTGCAGAATCTTTCGCCCACTTCAACATTGTTTACCCCAATTAGCATATTTTCTTACATGTACTCTTCTTCATTATTTTTTTTTAAGTAAATTTTAGTCCTTCACTGCAACTGAGGTCGTCTCAGCTATGGTGAAGCTTTTGCAGACTCATCTCTGAAGATACCGATAGTGAAAAACAGCTAAATATTTAGAAACATTGGGAGCAACCAATTACAGAGGTCACTATGGAACGTCTCGGAGGACCACCATTGTTTGAGAAGCGATTCTATCCATAACGGACCAACAAGAACTGAAATGAGGATCAGGGAAGGCCTAGAGGTTCTGATAGCGAATCCGCCCTCACAGAGCTTTGCCCAAGATCAGCAAGGGCAGATCGAAGATTCCTAACGAACCAAAGCCGACAAAAAATATGTTTTAATTATTCTCACAGTAATAATGTAAGTAAATTATCTCCTTGGCACAAATAAATGAATTTGACGGTTTCTATTGGTTTAAAAAAATAATCAGTTAAAAATATTAACTTTCATGGTTTAATATGGCAATTCAGTAACACTGCACATTATACAGGGTGGTTATAGAAGTGATTTACACAAAGTGAATTTAATAAAAAAATGCGTAAATAAAACAAAATTGTTTCATCAAGGTTTTTATTAATACGGAAATACAGCCAATAAACTGCATCATTAACTAGAGAACGTGTATAAAATTCAAATATACTATAAAATCGGTAATTGTAAAAATGAAAAATAACACAATATAAAGCATTTATTATTTGTATCACATGCACGACAGAAGAAATCTCTATTTTATTGTACTTTTTAAGTAAACCAAACAAACCCTTGCCTAAACGAACCACCTATCCACTTTTTCTATTCTTTTTTTTTCTTAGTATTTTTATCGTGTGAACCCAATTACATTAAAGATATCCTTAAAACCATTAGACGTTTAGAAATAGAGGTGTAAGATGCTGAAACTACAAAGCATGATATGCTCCACTTATTATTTCATCAAGATTTAAACGAGTACGTAGGACAGTCCCGAAAGTCTTTAAGACAAAAATAAAGCAACATAAATTACAATTACATTGCAAATATTGGATGTGCTCACACATTTTTCACTGGGAATATGCAAAAAAACCATAACTATAAAACAAAGCTACATGTGACAAGCCGTAATTAAAGTGTATATTAAAATAATGATTTAGTAGAAACTAGTAGCAGAAAATGCAATAAAATGTTTCGAAAAAAAAAAGAAAAAATTTACTCCGTCCCTCGTCAATGTTTAGTCTAAATTAATTGTCAATGTCTATTTGGAAAATATCATGATCTTCCTTCTTGTTAGTCTCTTCGACTTCTTCGTTTTCGTTATTATCACACTGTTCGCAGTCCTTTGAATCTCTCTCCTTCTTGTCATCACTTTCCGACGCTTCACTCTCACTGTGTCGGCGTTCTTGAGCACGTTTCTTGTTCTTGGATTTACGTTGGTTCTTCTTCTTCTGGCCTAGGATGCTAGAATTTGATCTGCAAATACGTTTTAATGAAGAATAATTGTGGAGGGCATATATTTTAAGCTATATAGATTGTGATATATAAATATAACCATCTATTTCCATCATGAAGATAGTTTTTAAATATATTTGAAATAAAAATAATGAGATTTTGGTCATTCTAATATTATACAATACACAGGGCAATTCACAACTTATGCAAAACAATTTGGGAATAGATGCTGCTTGAGAAATGAAGTCAATATTGTAAAAAAATTTTTGTAAAATTCTTATGGTTTTCGAGAAAAAAATTGTTGAAGTTGTAGTAATTTTCAACCAATACATAGGTGGACAACCGTAATCTCTATTTCTCTATTACGCGTGGAGAGCCATGTGGCCTCAGCGACTACAAATACTGAAATCCGATTTTATAATCATCGTTACTATAGTGTTTACAATAGTTTTTTAGTAGTTAATGTCAAAAATGGCTTGCGTGTATAGCAACTCGGTGTTAATGGATATCGTTTTAATTTATGATGAAGCAAGACAACATTTGTGTTAGTTCATAGAAACTGAGTAAGATAGACCCAAATGTGTTTACACATCGGTGGACAAAATTTGTAAGAGTTGTTGTAAGGTATGCCAAATTATTATATTATTTAAAACCACAAATTAATTTTATTAATTAATAATAACAATAGTGGCAAAAGCAGTTGAATTTGCTGATATATAAAATAGGTTCTAGAAAATTATATTTATTTCTGTCCATTTTTATCACACTTTGCCGCCATGCCTGTCGCATTGTACAAGGTCAGATTTTACAGTGAACCAGTTTCAAGTGCCGTGCAGAAGTGTTTTTTAAATCATTTCTGAACTGCCTTTTTTAATTTTTTCCTTTACAAAATTTTATTTGTAAGAATCCCCTCCACATCCAATATATTTTTTTTTTTTGGATAAGTTCTGAATCACCCTGTATAATATAATATCAATTATATCAACTAGGTAGTTAAAATTGCAAAATGTTTGTCCCACTGATAACTATTTTGAAAATTGCAACCATAAGACTTCCATCTCAATTTCAAAGAAAAATGAGTCAATTTACAGTTTTTTTTTCTTTGGCTTAAATTTAGCACAGTTCAAATAAATAATTATAAAACAGTTAATTTCACAAAAAAAATTCTAAGAATTGTACACAATTTTATATAGAATTTAATGTAAATCGAAAGTCTGGAAAATGCAGTGTAGAAATTTGGCCTTTGCTTATCCTTCGAAAAATTTAAAATTTCTAAACCAATGACTTTTTTTTAGAATTATGCTAGCAATAATTAATAACAATTATTATTATATTAAGCTAATTCAAATAAATTCGAAAAATTATAACAAAGCAGGATTTTAGAAAACAGTTGTTTCTTTAACAAGCAATTAGAAACAAATAAGTGGGTTGATCAAATTTTCAAAATACTCAGAGGCATCGAAATTGTACAATTGTCGGTGACATAATTCTGTACAAATTAAGTTAATTTTTACTTTAAGTTCAAGTTTTATTAATCTGCGTCAAACATTTTATAAGATATTTGCATAGCGAGATATATTTAATAAACTTTATCACCCTTTTATTCCTTAAAATAATTTAAAAAATCATCCCCATTATAACTAGAACATACACGAGTGTTAAAATTTAGGAAAAAAATTATTCTTTTAAATTACCTGCCAAAAAAATTGTGACTTTGTTCATAATTGTAGGTACTGTAGTTTGCTTGAATACACCATTTTCGAGATAAACAATAAAATGACTACCTAGATGTCTAGATAATTATTGCTTCAGGTGTCAAAACATCAAATTATTTTTTAAATAAATATCATCGAAGTAACTAAATCTGCTATGAATTAAATTAAGTATTAATTACACGGCTTCCCTCAGCTGATTTTTCAACATCCCATTATAGGAACTTATTCTGTAGAATTTACCACTAAAGTATTTTATTTGCGCCCTGTATAAATATTCTAGAATTTATCACATATTATGTTATGCTTTATCAATGCTAACCAAGTATTTGTTGATATAATATTAGTAATTTTAATTACAAACTAACATTGTTGTTTTCGTGATAAGCTGAGCCACTAAAACTCTAGCTGGAACTAACAACAACGATATAATTTATAAATATTTTGTTCCACAAGGTCAAACAAATAATTTATATTTAATTCTTTAATCATCACTCCACTCCGTTACTTATTATTTTGTTCATATGATGCTTGGATTATACACATACTCTTATAATAATGGATAATCTGTTAATATCAATTTTAATTACACTAGAAAACGGAATTTATTAACTGAAAAAGTACATAGATATCCAGATACATGTTTGGTAGAATTTCTGCTAATTTTAGCAAATTAACTGCTAATCTGTAGAATTCTTCCTAGAAAGAAAATTAATTACAATATTTTTAAAACTTGGATATAAATACATAGTTGTGTCTAACTTTTTTTTTAATAAACGCATACTCAAGGCAAACCACATTAGCCTTGTACCATCAAATACACCAAAGATAACTGTTTACATATTTTAAAAATTATGATTACCTACTAACACAAAAATTTCAAGCAACAAACCAGCGGATAGGTGATCTGAGTGGATTTAGAAATATATTTTTAGTGGATTATTTTTTATCAGCATTGTAACGGCAATAAATTTTATCTCGGTTATAAATACCAGTACCTCGTTACAATTTATTGTATTAACTTTATTTTGAAATAATTTTATTTCAGGAATTCTAAAGCTAAATCCACAAATCTTATGTTATATGTGTATAATAATATTGGAATTCATTAGAAAACATTTCTTACCTAAACAGTTGCCTCATAACGACATCGTTGAATCGTACGGTTTTCTTCAAGCTAGTTGAAATCTCTCCATCCTCAGGGATGACCGAATCGAGGCTGGTATGGCAATTTTCAAACGAGGAAGAACAAATAAAATCATCCAAGCTAGATTCTGACACGCTACGTCCTACGGAATGACGTTTCATCGGCAGCCTTTTCAGAATACCTTTACTTTTTCTCGGGCTATAACTATTGCAGCTTAACTCATCTCCACTCGATTCGTATGAGGTGCCTACAATATCAATAGCTTTGCTTTGCGTTTTCCTTTCTATAATTTCTTCCACACTACTATTCAAATCACTTGAAGGAGACGACTGTTTTTCTTCATACTTCTCGATCTCGTTTTTGCTGTTCTTTTCTTCTTTTCCATCAGATTCTTTCATTTGACCATCCTCTTTATTTTCTTCAAGGATTTGATTGAGGATCTCAGGTTCTTCAACATATTTTTCTGTTAAATTTTCTTCAGCAACACCATACAAGTAAGACTTGATTTGTTTGTCGTAAGTTTTGAAATGTATCTGAAGTACTACGTTGTTATCCCAAACTTCTATAGTTGTGTTTTCTTCATCAATTCGGTGCGACAGAAATTTTAGAAAGAACGCGTAATATGATGGGTAGTAACTTGAGCCTATACTGGTAAATTTTATGTGAATTGACGAGCTTGTACTATCGATAAATTTACCAACAGAATTTTCATCTACATTTTTAACGTTCAAGGTAAATGCAATGATATTTTCAAAAACATGACAAGTAAATTCGGGTAAGTTGTAATGTATATTTTCATCTAAGAATTTAGTCCTAAACTCACTCGAATTTTCCGTACATTTTTCACTAGGTTTATGTTCACTAACTAATTGTCTGTTTTCTTGTTTTTCACTAACTTCCTCCTCGGATTCTGGGGTACCTGGAGAAAATTGATCACTTTCTACGCCACTATCATCCTTACAGTCACACAGCAACAAATTTGTATTGCGTTTTACGGGTAGCGTTACTACAAGTTTCTTCAGGTCTTTATCAAATTTAGCATTACCCACTGATTCATTGACGTTATATGGTAATGTTAAATTAAGTTTGTACTTGGCAGGTTTTTCACTTACAAGTTGTACTGTTTTTTCTGTAACGTCTAACGTAATATCCGTTGCAGATTTTATCAAAGGCAAATTAATCTCTACTATAAGTTCTTTCGGTATTGCTGCGTTCATTTTCGACTCTTTATGCTCAGTAAACTCCTGAATGTCCACATGACTTCTATGCTTGATGACATACTTTGGTGTCGCATAGACAGATTTGTCTTCAACACTGCTTTTCCTAGACGATTTCTTAGGTTTTTTGGATGGACTAGAATTAACGTTAGGCATCTGAGCATAAATTTTATCAAACATTTCCTTTTCTTCAGGTAAGCGCTCAACTGGTTTAGTTTCGGAGGGTTTTCTTATGACACTAGCACGTGGGACACCCTTGTAGGAAAGCTTTGGAAACTTCAGGTTCTTCTTGTCCAAGGAGACATCAAAACTTGATTCTACAGCATCTAAAGCAGCACTATTCACCATAGTGCGAAAGGTCTTATTTTTCTCTGCTAAATGGAGGGTGTCTGGATGGAAAACTACGTCAAACACTTGGCAACGTACACCTTTATTATCTACGTCTTCACGAGGGGGTGACAGTGAATGTGGCAACGACCAAGACAAACCTTTCTCTCCTTCCTTGATCGTGGGAGATGATGATGGTTTTTTTATGTGATCGTTGGCACAGATATTGATGAAAGCTTTCTGATTGCCGTTTACACTAGTTTTTATCACGTAACCCGGTTTGGGATGAATAAAAGTAACATCAACACCACGTTCTTTCTCTAACTGAGTGATTTCTTTTTCGTACAGCTTCTTGTTTTCGGGGTTTTGGACCTCCTCCACGTAGTCACTGAGCAGCTTCCTAAATTCCTTGTTCTTCAGAGCCTCACCTATCCGTTCTACTTCGTCACGTGATAAGTCCAACTCTCGAAGTTTATCAAACGAATTTGCCATTGCAAATATTATGCAATATTTACGAAAAACAATATAAACGGGATACGTAAAAGCGCATGAACCAAAATAAACAATCTGCGTCTGGAAGTTTCCAATGCTCACGTGGACGAATCAGCCGGTTCTCTGTTTTTGTTGCCGGCTCGTCTAATTCTAGGAGTACAAGCGCGAAATTTGAACGTGAACTAGATATCCTTTCCCGTGCACACTAAAATAATCGCGACATTTACTGTTCCAGAGAAAACTTTCAACTTATCGAAGCTTCAAATATAACAAATATTATTTAACGCCACGTAACCTTGGCGAATACTATAACCCCATTGTTATTTTTAAAACTTGGCAACGAACCGAGGAAACAAACCGTGAAGAGATCCAGACCCGGTTATTATTATTACATGAATGTATTATTTAATTAAATCCTCGTATAAAAACTAATCTAATAGAATCAGCTCTGATTTGCTTACAAGAGTCAGAAATTATACTACCTCTGATACTACCACTATACTGACTGACTAGTTAACGTATTATATATGGCTTCCTACGATATTAAAAGTACCTAATACTTAATAATTGTTATTATAGTTACTTATTAAAAATTAGGTCACATTTTATTGTTAGCGTAGCAATCCTTGTTTTAAATTTAAATGCTTGTTTATTTTATACTATACTTTAATGCATATCTATTATCTGGCTATTTTAATTATTTCATTGCGTAATCCTACTTATTTAAATATGTATATACCTATTGCTAAGAAGTTTTCAAATAATATGTTATGATGTTATTTACATTTTGAAAACCATCATGGTCTTCAGTTTTTACATCCATTTTACAGGGTGGTCTATAATGATTAATGAATGGGTCGTATACAGGGTGGTCCGAATTTTATGCAGGAAATTTCGAGGGTAGATAGATCTCTTTAAAACAATATGTACAATATGCCTTATAAACTTAGGTCTGGAACGGCCCCATTTTGGAGATACAGGGTGTTGAGGTTTTAAAAAAAATTGATTTTTTGTTTATGTCAAGGAGTTACCCACAAACGTCCACACGATTTTCTTTCTGTTGTTTGGTCATCAAAGAGGAACAAATTTTGCTGCAACTCGATGTATGTTCAATTTTTCAGTTAAAATTTCATGGTATGACCCAATTGAGATGCAATGCTTCTGCAATTTCTCTGACAGTCAATCGGCGATTTGCACGCACTAGATCTTTGACTTTCTGAACGTGGAAGTCATCAGTTGAAGTTGAAGGTCCTATTGGTTGAGGATCATCTTCAATTGATTGACGACCACTTTTAAAGACGTTGCCAGTTTTGCGCAAAATTTTACATACATACAACAATCCAAGAACATCTGGTTACAGAGGAGGGTATGCGCCACGCAATCCCAACCAAAACAGACCTCGTATAAAAATGCCCTTAATTTTCAAAGTTCAATAAGCTCTTAAAACATCTGTATTTCATTTCGAATTCCCTTGTGCATACTGTTTTTTTTTCAGAATTTCGTAAAATAACTTATTGTAATGTCCTTATAACACACGGTGGCACAATCACTCATTAAAATTGTCCATTGCACCGCATTTAAATCGAGTTACAGATATATTAGAAGGTAGCTTTGTACAAGATCTTGCACAATATGTCACTTTGTAAGTAATTCATGCTCTACGCAACTGCATTATTTAATGAACATTCTCCAAACAATTAAGTAGATATATTATATGCAGTTACATTACACATTTGACAATTTTGAATTTAAACTTACAATAAGTTCAGGAAAACATCTCAAGCCTATTCACACAAAACGATTTCACATTTTTGATAAAAATGTAGGTATTGTAATCGTTTTAGTAACGCTTTATACTTTGTTGCGGCCCTGGAGATTTTTTTAATCTTTCCCCGAGACCCGTTTTTTTAAGGACAATTCCAAGAAAAAATTATAATTTTTCGCACCAAATTTACTAGCATGTAGTCAACTGGATCACCTCAAAAATTAATTATCATTTAGTTTACAACTTGTCCAGAATGATGGTGCAAAAGTTCTACTTTCTTACATTTTTTATGATTTGGTAGTTGATACGCAGAGCTACAAGTATACAGGGTGTTTCAGAAGGCCTCCCGTAAATACAGGGAGTGATAGTACGACAAAAAATTTTTTTTTTGTATTATGAACTATATGTAGGTCTATCTCTTGTTTTCGAGATACAGAGCTACAAAATAAATTTTTTTAAATAGAATTTTTACGAAAATTTCCAAACAGTGCGAAATGTTTTTATGAAATTTGGCATTTCGGGGTTTTAAAGTATGCCAAATACGCTGGTCTAATTATTTTTTGAATACTTCATAGAGGGCGCTAGTTATGCTACATTCCTGTTGCATTTTAAGTTCTAATTTTTTTAAGGTTAGGCTTTTTACCATTCGGACACCATTTTATAATGTACAATTTTATTTTTTTTAAATAATGTAAGTAGTAAGTACTCTTGTTGGAACTTCCTAATATGGGCGGTTTTCGAAGTCACTGAAATCACTAAAATTTTGATATAAAGTTAATTAGAGTTTAAAATATTACTAAGAATGTATTCGTTGTTTATAAGACATCCATCAAAAAGTTTTGACCTAAGCCTACTCTGAAAAAAATCACTTATTTTACACACCGTAATATTGTAAAAATTATCTAAAAGCCTTTTTTCTCGAAAACCGTCACATTATGAAGTTCTAATAGCAAGAGTACATTATTTTCAGAAAATAAAATTGTAGGTACATTATAAATTGGAGTCCGAATGGTAAAAAACTTAACCTAACCTTAAAAAAATTAGAACTTAAAATGCAAAAGGAATGTAGCATAACTATTGCCCTCTATGAAATACTCAAAAAATAATTAGATCAGCGTATTTGGCATCCTTAAAAACCTCAGAATACGTAAAAATTCTATTTAAAAAATTTTATTTTGTCGCTCTGTATCTCGAAAACAAAAGGAGTTAGACATATGGTTCATAAGACAAAAAATTCTTAATTTTTGTCGTACTCCTTGTATTTACGGGAGGTCTTTCTGAAACACCCTGTATAGTACGGGAAGGGTGCTTGTCCGTCATTCATACAAATAAAGTATTATATTTTCTGTAATGTAATAACAACCAAGAAACCTTTTGACTCTGTTGTGTTACATACTTATACACTATGTTAAGGATAAAAATGTTATGTAAAATATTAGAAGATCAACTTTGCCTTATAATTTTTGTTTTATATTTGAAAGGTAGGTAAAAAATAAAAAGCGAGGGATGGTAAGATTGTCCATAATTGTAGATATCATGTTTTTCTCTGGTAACTTTTTGAATATGAAGAGAAAATTTAAGTGTACATAGTTAGTTACAGCAAAGACTTATTAGCTTCTAAAAAGTCTCTTATTTGTAGTAAAAAAGGCAATTGCTGCTAATGTCATTCTAAGATGGCAATTTACCAACCGCTATAAAAGCAAACGTAGCTAAGAAGATGACTTTGCAACAACACAAAAAAAGCGAAACAATTTTTAACCCCTATTTAAACAGAAACTTTCTTAGTGTTAATCTGTTTCTGATGAGGCTAGATGACATTTCCCTCAGTGTACTATTGATTTCATGCTAAATCTGAAGGTAATTAATTAATCGATTTCGCATGTACAAAAGTATTTTAATGAATTTCAACTTTCAAGCAAATAAAGCAACCTTGAAGGTGTATTTGACCCAATTATCACATTTTAGCCCCATAATTTTGGTAGTTGTTGTACTCCTTCATCTAAATACACCCTGTATGATGTACGAAGCAATTAAAGCCAATGTGCATCACGGTTTTTATCAGCGACCCATATTTTTCCAACACGAAATGGAAAGTTGCCGTGTGTTATTGTTATTACTCATGCCAACGGTTCCAGTTCCAGTTGCTGCTCGTGAAAAATCACTCCCATTAAGCCCAGTTATCCCACTTTTCCTCGTTATGTAACTCGAATACTTTCGTCTGCCTTATAACGACCGGCCTCGCCGACTTAAATATCATTTTGTAGACGAGATGCTTCCCTCCCAGTGTTCCATCGAAAGCCGTTGGACGTTTAAGGTTACCTTTCACCTTTACATTTGATTTAAGATGTTAGTGCGGTACCAGCCGACCTACTGACATTCTCTACAGGACCGGGCGTCGATTCAACACCCGAAACAATAGTTCAGTGTCAGTGCGCGCAGGAATTTTTGGAAGATGAGGAGGAGACTGAAGACGCAGTGGATGTGGTTGACAGTGTTCATCACGGTTTCCTTCAGTGGTACTTTTCTGTTGAGGGGGAATCACGTGAGGGAGTTCCAGTCGAACAGGACGACCGGCAGGACCACGGAGTCGTCGTTTTCTCTGGCGTCGATGAAGCACGTGACCAAATCCCTGGCGGAGTTGGGGAAGATGGACGATGTGAACAGGCACTTCCTGTTCTTGAACCACGTGCCGAAGTGCGGCTCGGAAATACTGATCCTGCTCTTGCAGAAGCTGCAGGGGTCCAACAATTATAGACACGTGCGTTTGACGGGAGGGAACAAGAGATATTTGATGAGATCGCAACAGGTGGGTGCAGAAGTTTGACTATTTATGGGGTACAGAGGTATTAGCCCTCATTTTGAGTAGGTACGTTTATCTAAAAAAATAAGTGAAAAAATTGCGAGCTCAATGAACCTGCATCATTAGAAATAGCTTGTTTTATACATGGTGATTCAGGTTTAATCTGGATAACTTCAGGAATCGATAAACAGGTTAAGACAATGTTATTCATGATATAAACTTATTTCCTAAATAGCTTCGTTTCGGAGATAGAAGGCGTTGAAATAGAATTTTTTCCAGCTTTTGCCTCATACCTCTTGAACCACTTACCCGATTGAGGTGAAAGGACCCCGCAATAATCTTATGGAAATTGGGTTTCTGTCAAATTGTCTGAATTTTTGATATGTTGTAGATTTTGTCATCCTGAACAAAAGTCTCCATGGGCACAAAGTGCCAAAATGAACATTTTGGCAGCTACGGAGCTGCCAAAGCTCCCCTGACCCGTTGCAAAACTATTCATTTTCAATACTATTTACAGATGTCAAAAGCATATTTTAATTATTCTAATATATAGGGTAATGTTTTTGAGGTCACTGGATTCAACCCTCATGTCAGATTGGACAAATTGACCGTTGACAGCTGTCAATACACTGTCAACGAAGAATAGAAAAGTAAATATTCTCTTTTCACATTGAGAGTTTGGGCTTTTGAGGGAGCTGAATTCAATTCTCATGCCAGATTGGCAAAATTGACAGCTGTCAACTGTCAATTTTTCCAATCTGGCATGAGAATTGAATTCAGCGACCTCAAGAACCCAAACTCTCAATGTCAACAGAGAATATTTACTTTTATATTCCTCGTTGACAGTCAATTGACAGCTGTCAACTGTCAATTTTGCCAATCTGGCATGAGAATTGAATTCAGCTCCCTCAAAAGCCCAAACTCTCAATGTGAAAAGAGAATATTTACTTTTCTATTCTTCGTTGACAGTGTATTGACAGCTGTCAACGGTCAATTTGTCCAATCTGACATGAGGGTTGAATCCAGTGACCTCAAAAACATTACCCTATATATTAGAATAATTAAAATATGCTTTTGACATCTGTAAATAGTATTGAAAATGAATAGTTTTGCAACGGGTCAGGGGAGCTTTGGCAGCTCCGTAGCTGCCAAAATGTTCATTTTGGCACTTTGCGCCCATGGAGACTTGTTCAGGATGACAAAATCTACAACATATCAAAAATTTAGACAATTTGACAGAAACCCAATTTCCATAAGATTATTGCGGGGTCCTTTGGAACACAAACACTCCTTATGATCTTATATAAGCTTCTTAAGTTTGAACAACCTACCCCCTTAGAAGTGAATTTTGTGTGCTACCCCCTTCTACATTATGTAAAATCTTCCAAAAAATTCAATAATTTCTATAAAACAGCCACACACCATTTTTGTCTCATTAATTTTGAAAATTTTTCGTTTCTTATTTTCTTTTTCGATATTTGGCCTTGTTACTGAGATATTCAATGAAATCCGTAAGAGTGTAGCGTCCCAGTTTTTTTAAATTTCATTTAACGTTATAGCAACCCATGAAAAACAAAACTCACAATGATTTGTATAAACTGACGTTTGTGAAAATAATCGTTAAAAGTATCGGTCGATAGCCGCACGGTTTAAGGCGTCAGTACTTAAACTGTGTGTAAAATGTGTGCTATCTGCCCGGGTTTCGAATCCCGCGGCCGATAGACCGTAGATTAGCTATGCTTGTACAGAGGATTGGCACCCTCTGTGCAGGTATGGTAGGGTGGAAGAATGTTGGCTTGGGTCAATGTGAGAGATTGACACCGGTTGGCACTTGACCACCCCCCTAATTAATGAGGTTTTCCAGGTTTCCCTCATTCCTGCACTGAATGGTGGTTAGGTCCTACCAACATAAGTCGTTTCTGGGCGCAAATGCGGCCTGCTTAATAATAATATGCCGCCTCCTCTCCCGCACAAGTCCCCGACTTCTGGGCTAATTCTCGTAGTTAGAATGAGGAGTAGAGATATTATTATTATTATTATATTATTATTATTTCAAAAGTATTTTTAGTGCTAAGAAAAGAGAAAAAATGCCTACCTCAACGCCCTCTATCTCTAAAACGATGCGATTTACGAAATAAGTTTATATCATGAATGAACATTATTTTAACCTTTTTGTCGACTCCTGAAGTTATCCAGATTAAACCTGAATCACCCTGTATACAAGGTGATTCACAAATAGTGACCAAAAATGGAACCTCGTATTCTTTGTTGAATTTTAAGGGGAATCTTTCCTATAAAGTTTTTATCTAGGATGCTTCGTTAAAAAGATACAGGGTGTTAAACTTCAAAAAATATTTTGAATTTTTTAAAATAATTTAAAAACTAGCAAATGAAATAATTAGAAACTGGGCACATGTATTTATGTAAACATTGTCCAAAATCTGAGGGCTTTTCCTAAAATATACATGCTGCAGTGGCGGAGATACCGGGTATCAGTGCCATATTTTTCTAAATAAAATAGTACGCCACGGTAACAACCATGATATTTTCGGATTCGTCTTTCAGTTTTCTACAAATTACTACTCTTTTATGTTTTTCGAAAAAAGCCTGCTTTTCGAAAATGCTGAAAAATAGGTACAATTTTTAGCTTACACTGAAAAATCTTCGGAACACCAAAAATTCTCAATATTTGATAACTAATTCACAACAAACAGACAATGATTGTGTAATTAATTTCCATTTGGGGCTTGAAAAAACTTACAACAAGTTTGTAGTATTTTTAAAACCTTTAATGCAATTTTTTATAATTATTATATTCTGAGTGTTTCTAAAACATGGTGCTAAACTGAAACACCAGAAGAAAATGTTATTTTAAACAAAAATGTTCGTATAACAATGGGGCTGAAAATGCTTAGTTAAAAAAGTTTTAAGGCGATAAAATCGCTCTGCCAAACATTTTTTATGTAAAATACGTTTTTTTAAGTGGCACCAAAAAGATAACTACCTACTTTTTTATCTCGATGCGTCGTTTTTGGCAATAAACATTTATATGTGTTATGCGTCGATATATTAGCACCAGTTTGTAAAATAAATGTGTTGGAATCTTTAACTACATATTTAAAGCCTATCGAAATTAGAAACTCATAAAAAACGTAAAAGCTCACTCTTTAACATCAATATTCTTACCAGTTTGCTTTCTTTAGAAAACGGTACAGATTGCGAAAATGTTATAATTTACCAAAATTAAATTAAAATAACTTTTTCTCCATGCATGGAAACAATAAAATAGAGAGTCCAACGACTTGGATCGAGTTTCATTTGGATCTGATCAGCTGCTTTGGAATAAAAAAGAAAAAACGTTTTTTATGTTCGGACAGGAAACTTTTTCCTTGAAGTAACATTTCCTATCTCCTCAATTTGGCACCAAATTTCAGAAGCATAATAAATAAATTTAATACAAAAACAAATTAACTAATTCTGCATTCAAATTATGTTAATTTTTTTGCATAAATGCAATCTCTTTTCAAAGAATACCACTAGTTCACCTGGATACATATTTATACGAGGTCGTAAAATATATCTGACAACTTTAATGGGTGTATGATATAATGGAATCATTAATATCACTTGGAACGGCCAGCTAGAAGATAAATTGCCTCATATTCTTTTTACAGACATAAAAATTGATGTCAGATTAATTCCACCTTCACATATTTGGAAACGGCTATTGACTTTCAGGAGTTTAGAAGGCGCTTATATTATATTGCAAAATGTGTATAATTATTTCGTAATACCAAATAGGCAATTTGTTTTCGTTTATTTGGTTAGCCAGATTGGGATTCTTACTTTCTCTTTGATATGTCAATAAATAAAAAAGTTTCTGTAAAAGTTGGAGGAAAAAATAATAAATGATGTCCTTATAGACGTTTTACTTATAAAATAAACACCTACTTTTTTAATTTAATTGGGTGTTTTTGCCACACTGAAAGAAACAGATTTTAAATAACCTAAGTGTTTTGCGAAGTTCTTTGTTAACATCCAAAGTCTATAGTGAAATATCAAACAATTACCTAGCGACTTATTGCGAGATATTTCTGATTAGGCAAGAACTACCTTCCTTTTTCCAGGTGACAAGATACCCAATTAAATAAAAAATATGAAAAAAATGCCACAAATAATTAGACAATAAGTAGGTACCTAAACGATTTAAGAAGCATTTATACCCAATTAAGGGGACATATAGATTTGTGTCTAGTTATGTATTTTCTTTATTAACAAATATTATTTCTAAATTATTACTTTTTTAGTATTGTTTATTCTTGTTCAATTCATTCAATATTTATAAACATATTTTCTGCCACAAAACTGGAAAACTTGGGAAAAAAGTATTACCTATACTGAAATATTGTATGCACACAATGAAATACAATAATACACTTTTAGATTTAAAATAATCCTCACTTCTTAGTTTTCTGAGTGTAGCATTAGGAAAATAAAAAATTGGTTCTGAATGACTAAGCCAAAAGGAAGGTGTAAATTATACGACAGTAGTTAAAGCGAGACGTTAATTAATCTGCATTAAAATTTGTAATTCAAATGAGATTTCCATTTCCGTTAAAGTCGAAACTATTACAACACGCCGTGTACAGAATCTTGGTGAAAGACGTAGGCTTTATTTCAATCACGTTATTTTGAAATAAGTAGATACTTGAAATCGAAATGAAATTAATTTAAAACAACTCTCAGCTGGTTGGGCGAGATATTAAACGAGGATTAAAATATGTAATAAATATTAATTTTTGCAAAAAGAAACAATAAAATCAAGCAACACATTGGTTTTTTATTATTCAACTGTTTAACCTTATAACCTAAAATACAGAAATATTGAAAAATGTTTTTATTTTTAGGTTAAAAGCGTAATAAAGTATTACGTCTTTTCTATACGTTGTTATAAACGTACAGCATGATACAAAAAGTAGGTCAGACATAGAGAATATTCTTATACAGACATTTCATAAATGTTTACAAGTCACGCGACCGCCGAACCCAACATTGCACGATTGGTACTGGTGACGAAAATTCCCTAAATCTTGACGTCACCGATATTAATGATTCGTTTACAATGAACAACAGCAAAACGGCACGTCTACGCTCGAGATAATGCAATCGCTGTTTGGTTGAATAGAATTTCGTAAAAAATTACACTAATCACAGCTGGTGAAACAGAATATTGTGTTTTATCTTGATCTTATTATTTTAATCATTTTTAATTTTACCGTAATTTAATTACCAAGGAAGTAATAAATAATATTACTGTTCTAAACAAAATTACTCTATGCAAAATTTCAATTAAGAAAACAATAGAGCTTAAATTAAATTAAATAATCCTTTTTTTAACACCCTGTATTTTAAAAAAGAAGCTCCCCAATGCTAAATGGATAAGGAGAGTCCTATTATGTTTACTCAAAAATTTTATGTTTTGTAACACTGTATAACTAGTAATTAACAAATCTTCATTTTTTTATTCGATTATTGTGCCTGACATCACTTTTAATAAAAGTTTTAGGCGTGTACTTATATCCTGTAGTTTATTGCTGAAATAAGTCTGTAGGAAATTTTCTTGGTTCTTTCTTAGATAATATTACTCATAGAATAGAACGAACAAAGCTCTTTGTGTGGGCTAATTTCTTTAATCACATAGCTTACTATTAAAAGACCTATTTTTGACATGAGTCATTTGGTAAAGGTCAGTCCCCACAACATTGGCATTTGCAGACATATTTAGGTTCAGTCTTGCAATACAGTCAATTCAGCTGCTGAATCGGCATTGTATCATACTTTCTTTTCGGTAAATCGAATCTAATCGGTGAGATTGACTTGGGTAGGGCACATTTTTTCGAACGTTGTTCATCAACTTATGGAGCTTTTGTCCGTAGTAAATTCTTTGATCGTATCATATTTAACCTTTAACAGCTTTGCCCAATACTTATGGTGGTTAAAAAATATGACAACGAATTATTCATTGCATTTTTTCGTAATGATTGGCAGTAAAAAGGCGGTACTTATTTTTTCTTTCCTTTCAGCTGTCTTTTATAAAAAGCAAGTATTTGTGTTCTGCCTATATGTAACATATACACTTTCACATTTAAGTTGAGTTAGGAATACATCCTGTTTGATTCAATTAAACAAACTTTCCTTTACTTCGACAATTAGTATTTTATATTTGTACATTGTTTCTACAAAACCTTTCACCATCATCAAAGACTGGTACCTACCATTTGTTCGCGAGATTTTAACAAATTTCGCAATTGTTTTAAGTCATACGTCAAAGCCTATTCTTATCAACAATTATTTTGACTTCGATGTTGTTCTAAAAGAAAAATTAGGAATTGGGAATATTTGACCAATCTATTGTTGCAAACAACAAGTTTAATGAACTTTTAAGTTTTGTTGTCTATAGAGTAAATTAACTCGATCGTAAAGCAGGCCACACAGGGTAAAGCATAATACGGCTTTCGATGTATGACTGGCTTAAGGGTTCATTCGCTTTTCGGAGTTCCATGGATAGCTAGATAAATAGCAATTATAATAACACAGGCCGACAAAATTTGGCCGACCCTCTAACCCAGAAACCAACCAACGATTTTGGTGCGCTGAATCCGAATCCGGAGCCCAAATTTCTCAATACACCTTTTTAGTAGTGACGTCACATACGCCAAATAATAGACAACACCATATTGAAAATTGTCATGAAGAATTTCTCAATATTTTTACTATACCGATTTTCGACCGTATGTAGGTATATCCGTTTGGATATAAATGCCAAAAAATGGCTTATTTGTCATACTGCGATATTCTGGCAGTATTAGAAATATTTAACAAGTTTCAAACCCTAAACTAGTAGAATTATAGAATTTATATATTTAAATTTATAGAACAATATTGACTTTTATAGTAATTAATAAATTAAAATTATATCAATATTACTGAGCATGTGCGTTTTTTACATATTTGAGGTTATGTTTGTTACATAGATAGGTACATTTTTTTGCTAAAACCATTAGGTAATAGGCTCTTAAAGTACTATGCTTACTCTTTAAAACGCACTTAGATTTATTCCGATATCAAATTTTATTTTGTCTTTGAAAAATCCCATGTTGAAATTTAAAAAGTTTGACTTATTTCTCGATTTTTGAATATACTGACAACACAGCACCACAAACCTAAATTCATCGGCACCCGGAAGTAGAGATCTTACATGTGTTTGGGGTCGCTGATCATGAATCTGAACTCCAAAATTCTCTATCACGTCAAATATTGCAATAAACTTTAAAAAATATCTATAAATTTGATATATTTGATATTTTACGCATTATAACGATCTGGAAATACATTTACGCGCAATACGCTCAAAACCGAACATAAACCATTATCCCAAAAACCCTATGCCCATAAACTCTTAACGCATAAACTCCAAACCCATACTCTAAAAATAGAGAAATAAGTCAAACTACTAAAATTCAACACGCGGTTTCTCAAAGACGAAAAATGATATCGAGATAAATCCTAGTACATTTTAAAGAGTAAGAATAGTACATTAAGACCCTATTAATGGTTTTAGCGAAAAATTACCTATACATGCAACATAACCTCAAATATGTAAAAAAATCGCGATTTTGACACTTTTAGGTTAGGATATCTCGAAAATTAAAGCGAATTGAGAAATTTGGACCTCGGATTCAGCGCACCAAAATCATTTGGGACAGTATATTTGTGTTGTTGGATTAAAATCTTATCGGCCTGTGTAATTAATGCAAGTGAAAGTCGAATGAAATACACTGCTAGTGAATAATTATAAACTGTGAAAGAATTTGGTTTGGTCTTGTGTAATACTTCTACTGCATATGGTTCAAATAATAACAGAATGAAATGCCAAAGTGCATTACTAAAATTGGTCCTAACTAGATAGCATTTATTTGTTTTTAAAGAAACTGCAATTAAAATTATATGGAGATTTAGATATACTTCATTTTATACATCCTTCTCTAAGTTCTAATTGCATTTTAAAATTAGGTGTAGATATCGATGATGTATTTAATAAAGTAACTTTTGAGTTATGGCAACTTTGTCATGTTTCACACTAGTTTGAAAATTTTTAATGTATCCGCATCTGATTTTAATAAAAGGCACACATTTTCCTACTACAAATAAATGGATAAAATATTTGTACTAGGTCTAGGTATTATTAAATACATATGTAATTCACATTCTTATGCTATAAATATTTTTATGACAAAAAAATTTAATTTATCCAAAATGTTGGTAACTATGAAGTATAACACCATTAATGTAAAGTATATTTCTACTTTATTTTAGGAAGCACTAGTCTTTGAGATGTACGACATTATCCGAAAAGAAGCTATTCCATTGAGCTTCGACCGCCATGTCTATTTCATCAATTTCACCAAATTTGACAGACAGCTACCAACTTATATCAACTTAATTAGGGACCCAGTGGACAAAATCCTCTCCAGGTAATAAGAATTAATTAATAAATACGTTTTTCTGTTCAGTAGCTCTTATTATTGTTAACTGAAAGTTAAATAGTGTCCCAAATTTCACGCAAGAAGTAATTTTGACAGAAAACAGGTTTTTAATTAAAAATCGTAATTTTTTTATTGATTCATAAAGTACACTGTATAGGGTTATGTATGGAATAACATATCGGGTAAATGGGTCTCCAAGGTTTTGCTGGCACATACGCACCCTTGTCGAAATTTTCCACGATCGTTTTCTATAAATGCGGCTGAATTTCGTTGATACAGTGCTCAGTTTATTAATCCTTGTTGGCATAAATCTAAAACCTAAAGAAAAAAAGTCCAACTGTGTTAAATCGCATGATCTAGGCAGCCAATTTTGATCACCGAAACGGGAAATTACACGACCAGGAAATTAATTGAATTGTTTCTCGAGCTGTATGACATGTCTTGTTGAAACCACATGTCGTCTACATTCATATCTTGCAATTTTATGCACAAAAAACTGGATTAACATTTCGCGATAGCGCCCTTAACTGTTATTGCCTGTCCAGTCGCATTTTTTAAGAAGAATGGTCCAGCTCAAAATCCGCAACCAAACAGTGACACGTTGTGGATGCATTTGTTTCTCAACAATCACTCGTGAATGTAATTTCTGAACCCCAAATTTTGTCGTTTAAAAAAGCCATCAAGATGAAAATGACCCTCATCGCTAATGATGATTTTGTTCGGAAAATCAGCATCCACTTGTTCCATAATCCATACAACGATCTTTCCTCTCTCTGCGTGGTCAGTAAGATTCAGTTCTTGAGTAATTGAACTTTGTAATGAATATGCAAATCTTTCATGAGAATACACTGTCTATATTGTTCAGCTTATGAAAACGCGTTGGTTGCTCTTTCGTATAGCGTTCCATTTTTAATAACCCTGAACCGTCAACTGTCACATTGTCTTTTTTACGTTGGCAACACTTTACCACACAAACGGCGCAAAATTCAAACCTTGCATGAATTTTGGGACACCGGATATATTGATTTTATTTCAGGACGTCGTATAATGATAGACTGGGGAAAAAAGACTTTTACTCTAAATGTTTGATGAGGAAGAAAAACAACTGCAATTTCAAGAATGGTAAAACATATGACCTCACCATCCCTTATTTCTGTGGCCATGATCCAAGATGCATGTAAGTGTCTAATAAGAATATTTAAACAATTTAATATGATTTACTAAGCGTGGCTATGTCTCGATGGTTCACAACTTGGTATGAGTTCATCTCACAAGCTTGTATAATGAATTATGCAAACCAATAAAGTGTTTACAGCAAACAACTTTAAACTATGTTATTTTGATTAACGATGATTCATCAACGGATTTTGCATATTTATAAAATTCAATACTTCTTTCAATCTGGTCCATACTGAGTTGATGGCAATATTATTTAATCAAATTAGAAAAAAGATGTAGGTATACTTTTTATGAAGAAAATTCTCATTTAATAGGGCCTTTAATAATTATTTTTTTATTGTTAAAATAATATGTTACAAGCATTTCAAATACACATTCATTTACACAATCAGAAAAGTTGTGTTGATTATTAACATTTCTATGTTTCAGGATGCTCAACAACGATTGGGCTCTCCAGACTGCTAAAGCGAATGTGGAGAAATACTACCCCGTGGTTGGTGTTCTAGAAGAGTTAAATGTAACTCTGGAAATTTTGGAATACAAAATTCCTTACTTCTTCAAAGGAATCCAAGACCTTTATAAAAAAGACTTGCTTAGTAAGCAAAGCTTCCAGTCATTGTTGCATAATATTGAGATATTGTTTTATTTTAGAAGTTTATAGAAATAAAAAGAAGCCTAAAATACTGAAGATTGTTCAGAAGAAACTGAAGGAAACTCTAGTGAAGGAATACGAGTTTTACGAATGGATAAAGAGTAGGTTATTTAGACAATTGCAGATCATGTATGGTGATCATAATTCACACTGAAAGTACAAACCAAGAAAGATGAAGAACGTTACCAAAGACTGCTAGCATTAAGGAAATTATTATATTATGTTAATATGTGATGTCTAATAAATGCCTATATTAGGAGAATATTCGATTTCTTTTACTGTTCCTGTACGTATATTTCTTGTTTGTTTAATGGATTAATAGTAAAAATCACTTATATAATCACTAATTTTATTAATTATTATTCAAATTTTAATTATATTCAACATTATTTTTTAAATAAAAGTTTGTGTGAGATGCAAATGAATAATTTTGCATAATGAAATCAAACTACATTAGGTATATACTACTGGAAAAAATATTATATTTCATAAATTTTTAATGATTTTTGAAAGGCTGTATCTCAGTGACAAATGGTCGTGTCAAGGCATTTTGAAAAAAAAAATTAAGTTATGATTATCGAGAAATCAAAAATATCTCGAGGAAACTTTTTTTTTTGGATTCCACGGCCTCAGGAAAATTTTTTCAAACTCAATCAATATAGGGATCAGTTAGCTTGTTTAATTTGCTTTTTGAAAGGTCTCCCTACGACTGTTGGTTACCGAAATGTCGATGGTTGAACGAAAAATTACCCGTTTGTTTCTAATCATCGATATTTCGGTAACAAATTATTACACAGTAAATCCAAGAGCGGGTTTAAAAACTTGAAAAAAATCTTTACGAAGACCTATCATGGCTTTAGCTACGTACTGTCCAAATTTGATTAGTGCATCTCTCTATCCGGTTGCCGCGATGTTATGTTTTCAGCCACTAAAATTGAATAATTCCAAGTATTTCGAATTTTCACCACCAAGAACGGCGGTGACAACATTATTAATAGCAATGCGATGTTTTGCATTGCATTAGCTATGTCCTCTCTAAATTAGTGCATCTCTCTAGGTTTCGAGAATTCAATATCTACAGGGTGTTTCACGGTGACGGCCCATTAGAATTATTTCAGGCATTGGTTTTGAATTTTGAAAATTTGGGATACAGGGTTTTCGGGCACGCCCTTCTCACCTAAAATAATGGCGTTACCGTACCACTTCCGGCTATACCGGAAGTCGTCATCAGCTTATTTTAAATGAAACACCCCCTTTGAAGTTTTGCTAAAAATTCCAAAGCTATCCTCGCAAAAAATTACATGAATTTAGGTGATTACACAAAAAATAGTAGATAACTTAAAAACTAGAAGAGATAGATATAGGGAACCCTGATACCATTCGAAAGAGAATAAAATTGTGTATCAGAATATAGAAAAAACATACAGGGTGTTCCATTAAAAAAAAACGACTTATGAAGGTTTGAAGTTAACTAAACTCGGCATTAAATTTTTAGCACCCTGTATGCAATTAAGCCACTTTGAAAGTATGGATGGGAAGCTTAGGGGTCTAGCTATCCCCACTATAAATATTGTTGCTTTATATTTCTTATTATAAAATACACATGGTTTGAAGCTAGTCACTATTTCTTTAATTAATTTTAGGAATAGGGAAACTTCATAAAAGTCCACCTAAAATAGCACGTGGAGTCCAAAATTGCAATAATATATAGGGTGTTCCATTTAAAACAAGCAAGTTGATGTCGACTTCCGGTATAACCGGAAGTGCTACGTGGACGCCATTATTTTAGTTGAGAAGGGCATGCCCAAAAACCCTGTATCCCAAATTTTTAAAATTCAAATCGAAGTAGTCTCTTAAATAATTCTAATGGACCGTCACCGTGAGACACCCTGTATGTGCCTGTATGTGTGTTTTCAGTCAGAAATTTGAATAATTCCAGATATTTGGAATTTTCACCACCAAGAACGGCAGTGACAACATTTTTAACAGTAAGGCGGAAAATAAGAAATATTAAATTAATTTATAGAAAAAATTCAAATGTTTCACATGGCTACTTGATTTTTTTAATGAAACTATAATTATATTCAATATCTTGGTTTATGAAAACCCGATAAATTACACATCGTTGTAAAGAGAATTTCCTCTTTCTTCTAATAAGGCAAAAGTTCAATATGGCTTTCATAAGAAAAACAAAACTTAACTAAGTATCGCTCAGCATAGATTTTTAGAGATACCTACGTCAATACTGACAGCAAAAATCGATTCCTACATCATTTAGTACCAGACTTACACATATTTGTTAAAAAATATTGAAGAACAAGTGAAACACGTCTAAAACAGGAAATAGCATCAACCGGTTTTCTTCGAATATCTTCGGAACTATTCGGAATTTTCTAAAAACGGACCGTGAATCGCCATAAAATTCTGCACATTTTTGCATATTTAGCCATTTCTATTATGCTTAAAATAAGAAAAATACCTATGTAGTGCAATTAAAAAGTTGTAACCCCGCTTTAAGAAAATTTATAGGTTTTAGGGCATTGAAACCTTCATTAAAAAAGCGCTGTTCGTAATTTGTTGTTAGCCTTGAGAAATACTAAATAAACAGTTGAAATGTCGGCAAATTTTGCTAAAAAAGAAGCTTTTGTTAATTGTCCTGAATTCTCAACTCTTATATAAAATATTACAACAACTAGAATGTTTATCTACTTACCTTCAGTTTTTAGAAAAAAAAAAGATGATACCTACACAACCAAAATTATTATTGTTTTTTAGTAATACCAATGCACTTAAAAGTATATGCATTTATTCAGTACAGGAAAGGTGACAAATGAAAAACAGTGTTAGAAATGCGAAAATCAACAATTCATGCTGGCATAAAAAAAGATCATATTGACGTATAAATAAACAATGACGCAGATCATAGTAAGCGTCCGTCATTTCTTCTTCGCTTGTTGCAGACCCGCGCCGGCATTGAACTTGAAGAATATGATGTCCCCGTCCTCCACCACGTAATTCCGGCCCTGCTGCCTGTATTTCCCGGCAGCTTTGCAGGCCGCCTCAGTGCCCTCGTTCTTGAAGTCCTCGAACTTCATGACTTCCGCCATGATGAATCCTTTCTCGAAGTCGGTATGGATGCGACCTGCGGCTTGTGGCGCTTTGGTACCTTTCTGAAATACAACCGGGTTGATGTATTCGTCGCTAGAGGGCAGCACAGCAATGATTTTTTAAGTAAAGTGGCTTTTAGAAATGGGAGATTCGATTTGTCACAAAAGTAATAACCATAATATAAATAAATAAATAAATAAAGTGAATAAATAAAACATTGATATTTTTCGATTTTGGTTTCTCTGAAATATTGACTTTATTCCGACATAATTTAAATTCTTGAAAATTTTTGAGGAATAAAGGAGAATAAATGAGGAAATTAATAAAAAAAATTATAAAACACTTACATACACGGTAAAAAATTAGATTAACGCAGGAACCATTAGATATGAAAGGCTTATATGGACAAAATAATGTAGAATGGTTGGCAACATTTTATTGAAAAAAATGCCTCTTCGTTTGAATTTGATTAAAAAAGTAACATCCGTACTTTTTTAAATTTAGCTGTAACTTCGTTTTGCGGTAAAACTGAAAAAATTCTTGAACCATTCTACCGTAATCTTTATGTTCTTTTTACAGACATGGTAGTTGTTTTTTAATCAACATTTTCGAGAAAACGATTTTGTTTTTTTTTGTAATAAAATCCAAGATAGCACATCTTGGTCTTTATTTAAATAAAAACATTGTCATTTTAATATCAAACGAATTATAGGTACGATATTTTAAGGACGATTCTAGAATTTTTTCAGTTACATTGCAAATAATAAAGTTAAGTACATCTTATTTCTCCTAAAGCGAGGTTTTCAATTTTTTTTCTTTATTAAATGCGTTTAGCTAATTCAAACAAATTCAATACTTTTTTATAAAAATCATCAAAATCGAATGAAGTCAATGTTCTTCTATACCAGAAATCTAGATATACAGTATACAGAAGAGGGAAAACTTCTGCTGCTGATATTGCTGGAAACTACCACTAAACTGCATTCCTCAACTACTATCAAATTACACCAGCAATACTAGCAATAAATAATTATCCAAAATAAAAACTAAAAGTGATATGTGTAAATACAATTGATACATATCTGATTTAATAAAATTTTAAAGAATGTAATTAGTCAATAAAGCTCGGAGTTTTCGTCGGCTAGCCATAGGCGTGTTCGTCGTAAACAAATAAATAAACAGGTAGGTATAAATAAAAATAAATAAATTTGCGTACTTTATCAGCGAAACCTATTGGCGCTTTCGACATTATTAGAATATTAAAACACGTATACACGAACGCGAAGAAAATAACTGAAAATTATTACTGGTTTCGTACGGTGCGCTGTTGCGAAAGGTCGACGCGAGGCTATGATCATCCGATCGAGTCCCGAGCTCTATTAACCAAAGAATATTGTATTATTAATATAATTTTATTCCAGTCATTTAAAAAATTGCAATTACAAAGAAATCTTTTTGTTTCCTCTTTTTACTTCGAATTATTTTATCGGGTATCTACCGTCCTTTCATATGGAATTGATAAATATTAATATAACAAAATTATACACATACATAAACTTTCAGAAAAATCGACATTTTGAAACGACAGCATGTGTTTTTATACACCGTGTCCGAAAAAGACCCGAACCCCCTACAACTCTTCAGGATAAAATCCTCTCAAAAAAAGTTCAAGAAAAAAGTTAAAAAAAAAACTATTTAGCGGCGACATTGTCTTTGACCTTGCCTACAATTTTAAAGGTCAAATCAAGGGTTCGGGTATTTTTGGGACACCCGATATAATTCTATGCTAGTTGAGACATAGCCTACAGAGTAGTTAGGAGTTTTGTCCGAAAGGCTCGATATTTTTTGAATACCTATATTTCTGGTATCGAAGAACATTGCTTGACTCATTTGATAACAATTTTTGAATTTGTTTGAATTACTTTAATACGTTTAAAATAGAAGAAAAAAATACAAAAGCTAATAATAGAATTACATGTTTGTCTAATTTTTTTCTAAATCCAAATGAATAGCCATATTGTTTTCTATGAGGCATGTTGATAAAAATTTCTGCACTGTATTTTCTCTGCACAATAAATCGAAATTAAACATTCTGCATTTCATTTTTTTGCGCAAATCCGAAAACCGCAATTTTGGAAAACAAAATATAGAAAAGTAAGAAATTACCCTATTATAATGGAAACGTTTAGCCCTGTCCAAATGATGGGCCTATGTTTTCTTTATTTAAAATTTTTCTATGTCCTCCTTTACCGTTTTCAAAAATATTCATATCTTCGCAACAATAAATGATAATAACAGCAACACAAACGTAATATGTAAATAAAATAAAACGCATGTCATAATATCAAAGAGAGGTTCAACGAAAGCCAAATTAGTCGAGATCCTTTTGCCTACAATTCCTACTATTTCCCACCCTTTGATGCACTCACTGCATTATCTAACAAGTGTCTTAGCTTGTTCAACCATTTTCCAATTTCCAACCGGGAAAATAGTCCCGCAGCGCCATCTTAAATACCCCTGTCATTACACGGATGAATGCGTTCCATATTCAAGTAGTCGATTCGAATATTCCGCGGATGTTCTGCCAGGACGGCGACAAATGAAAATAAAAGGCCCATAAAACTGCCAAAGCAAAGTAAATAAATTACCCGTGTCCTGAAATTGTCTCTGCGGGAATTTGCATAAGAATGCCCCGCGCGCTTGAAAAATGGAAAACGACGACGGCGCGCCCCGAATTTTCAAATGACTTCGCTTTACATAAGGGAATATTATTCGGATGGGACTGTGTTTGATGTTGGGGCAACGTTCGTTCAATTTTCTGGCGAAGAAGGAGAACAAATTGTACCCACGTTTAATGTTAGTAGGTAAGGCCTTTTATATATAAATTTTTTTATTGAAAAAAATGAATGAAAATAAAAAATTTCTAATTTAATATACAGGATGTCCCACCAAGAATCGTCACTATCGAAATCTCGGAAAGTACCGATCAGATAAATCTGAAAATTTGATGGCACTTCCGGTTATACCGAAAGTCGATATTAACTTTTTATTTTAAATGGGACACCCTATACAGGGTGTCCCAGAGCTATGACAGACTTGATCGCGGAAACTAGTCGAGATAGAAAGAAATGTTATATAGAAAAGGTTTTCTGCTTAAAAAGATGCGTTTAATCATTTCATTTTCAAATATACAGGGTGCCCCAAAAATATGGTATATTACGGAACTTCAATTTTTTAAATGGAACACCTTGTACATTTACCAAATTTTCAGATTTATCGGATCAATACTTTCCGACATATAGATAGTGGCGATGCCTGATGGGTCATCCTGTATAATAAAAATGTCGAAGTAACTTATCTGTCGTCTCGAATGTAGGTAAACAGATTAAAAATGGTTAATGACCAACTTACCAACATGGTTGTCGAAAGTCTCAAACTCGATAGTGACAGTTTACTGACTTGTTATTTTCCAATAGGAAACTTTTGTATACAATTTTTTTTACTAATTTGTGAAATACTTGCCTGGATTGTCCAAGCCTTGACTTCATCGTGCCCAGCGGTGAAGAAGTATTCTAATTTCAAGGCCTTGTAACCCTGAACTATGATTTTGCCCAGTGCACTGAAACAAAAATCAGGGATAACTAGAATGTGGTATACTTTTCTACAGTCACATACAACTGTTGAATTTATTAAACCTCTAATTTGAGAAACTGTTGAATTAAGGTAAAGAGATTTTATTTATTAAACATATGCCTAACCGTAGAAAAAAAAACGTATTAGTTTCTATAAATACTTAGCATATTCATAAATTCAAGGCATTTACAAACTTAAAAGGCATTTTTTAATGGCAAACAGAATCCATTAATTATTATTATAAGCAATTCCAATAATCAAAATAGGAAAAATAATAGAAAACGGTGCTTAAAATTAATAATAATCAAAATTGTTAAAACTTATTAAGGACCTCTGGAATCATTGTGGCTGCAGATAGCGCGCCTTCTGCTTTTCTGTCCAGTTTTTTTCGCAAAACTAGAGAAATTGCTACCTAGTCATATATATATATATATGTCATATATTTTTCTGGATGAATTGTTTTCTTTTTATGAAAAGACAGTGACTACGGACTGTATATGTGTGCGTATAAGTGCGAGTAAATATACTAAAATGGTCCACCAATACAGTAACAATAAACACCTGTCAACGGAGCAAATTGAGAGATGGAGTCAGCGGTTCAAAAAATGTTTCTTCGTATTATTGTGGTTAAACATATTTCTGCTTATTAAGTTTTCGCAACTCGATTTGTTTACTCTTTAAACCTTCTTTCCAAGTTTGTAAACACCCTCTCACATCATCCCGTACATAAAGTGAATACTTGCGGTCGTAGATAATGCGCCGTGTCGACTTTTTTGTCCCGTTTTTTATAGAAAATAGTTACAGTTCAACGTATATCAATCAGTTACATCAATACATGTGAAGCTCTGATTAAAAATGAGAGTTAACTGCGACTTGTGCAAACACCTGTAAACAGAGCCAGTCGAGTTACCGATAGAGTCAGCGGTTCCAAAAATGTTTCTTGATATTATTGTAATAAGTCACTAGGTATAAAAAATATCTTATTTGAATATTATTAATTGAATATGTTGCTGCATTTTTCTTCCCTTTTAGCATTTGTGTATGCGAGGGGATGGCCTATTATTACCCTGACGTCGAATTTTACAGTTCAAAGACTTTGGTATTTGAAATTAGTTGCAGCAATTACCCCAAGCCTGTATTTTCATCACGTACCTCGATGCATTTACGTTCTCTCCATTTTTCTAATTGCCGACTGGCTCATCCGTGCCAGTACGTTTCGCGGGGAGGGACAGCCTACGGTTAGCAGGGCTTTTAATGCGGTAGCGTAGGCCAATTCCGCAAAACGTCTTATTAGGCTTTATCGTTTTCGTTTTGATTTGCAGGTTATGATTATTGTCACGCGATTGTTATTTTTTTGCGGCAACCAGGGCCTACCTTACCGTTAACTGTTTGACGTTTGCGTCAATAGGACTGCATCCAAAGGTTTTCGTTTTGTGCAATTCGCATAGTTGGGTGGGTTCAATCAACGTGATTTATTGAAGGAAAATTATACCAGTGAAAGAATTGCCACAGGAAAAAAAATTATGGAGTAAGACAGAGTGAAATTATCGTGTTTAAATTTTATGAAAATTTTACACAATGTCCTAATTAAAAATGAAAAAAACAAACTTTACATGTGGGTCCCTGAAAGTTGATTTTTTCTCAAAATTATTCTAGGAAAAAAATGAATTTTGGAACTCTGTTCCTGAATATCTGGCACGTAATTAATTTTATGGTTAAAAAAACAATGTTCAACTTCGTATTCGTATGGAGACCTTATAACCATTTGAAATACCATATTTCGATAAACTAACACGATAGTAACGCGTTGTTTTATACAGGGTGTTTTTAAATGAAGTAGCAAAAATGGTAACAGTGAATGTAGAGCCCAAAATAAGAGGATTGAAGTAAAAATACCTTATATGAAAATTGCACCCCTGAGGCTTTATACCCTCTCAAAGGAGGGGATGGAAATTTACATTTTAATAACATGGAGAATGCTAGAGACACGAAACTTGGTATGATCATCCTACTAATAAAGAGACAACTTTTCAATATTTATTCGATCATTGGCGTATTTTAAAAAGGAGTGAAACAGTCAACCCCATTGCAATATTTTATTAGAAATTTTTTATATGAAGCAAATTATTTATTTAAAAATATTTATTGGGAATACTGATTTATTGTGCAACTTTTTTACATCTTGTAATTTTTCGATAAAACCGATAGTTTTCTAGTAAAAACATTCTCAAGTAATGTTGTAAGATTTTCGTTCAAAAATCTAAGATACTCGGCCGCTACAAGCCTGTGTGGAAGAATAAAAGGATCTACTAGAGCATTTCCTACAATTCCCATCCAAACGTTTAAATTGAAATTATGTTGACATCTCGAAACAAATATTTCATGAGTATTTTCTTCCGACCATGAATGAACATTATGAAGGTTTACTGCACCCACTCTAGGAAATATTAATGTACCAATAACAAAAATCCACGCGGTTAGGTAAATCAGGGTGATTCAGTTCTTGTACGAGTTGGTGGTGAAAAGGGTATAAAAGATTTTCATGAGCTACATTCCACACAAGACTGTGAGAAACTTGCAGTCGCCTGGACACCTGTCTTGTGCTTGTACCACAGTCTTGTTCTAGATGTTCCAGTATAGCTTCCTCAGTATCAACAGTTCGGACATTGCCCGGCACCCTCACGATTGGGCTGAATTTTACCAGTTTCGTGAAGCCTTCTTTCCACCGAGGCCAATGTTTGCCTATGAGGAATCGGTCGGTTTGGATATTTTTGGTGGTATAATCTTACTGCAGCGTTACTATATTTTCTGGATTCGAAAAACACTTGGAGCATGTCGACATATTCGTCATTGGTATAAATATTATTTGCCACAATTATTCTGATAATAAATTAATCAATTGGTACTAATTATTGGTTGATAGAAAGTGTCAATTTATTAATATGACAAATAACAATTTATTTGTTATGACATCCGTCTACTTGATTGATTGAAGTTAATATCACATTTTTTCATCTCTTCGAAAAAAGAACCGATGGAATAGAGTCCTAAATTGCACGACATTTAAAAGGACATCATAATTCGGCATGTTAGCATAATTAACAACTATTATTTCTCAATTAGTGAAAATAGAGGCGAATCTTCGACGTTTTATTACACAACACACCCCTAATCTTTCCGTGGATGTGGTCCACCGGCCAGTTTAACATTTTTAATGAAGAAGGAGCCTCCTTGCCCTGTATTTAGGTAGTCCTTATATCTCCAGGACTGGATAAATAGACACTAATGGCTATAAAACTCATTTTAATGAGGGTCTACGGCGAATTTGCGGCCTGGGTCCAGTTCATGAATCGTCCCATATTAACAGCGTCTTTATGGGCAAAAAATTACGTCTCAGTTTCGATAGGTCGCCAGCCAAGCTCCTGAAGCGCCAGTACGTCATCATTTACAAAGAAAATTGTGGACAAGATAGAATTATATTTAAAAAGTTTCAGGGAAAGGAAAGATTTGAAAGCATCCAATGGTCTGGTAGAAGTCACACAACTTTGCCCATTCAAGAAGTTCAAGTTTGGGACCTCCAGTTCATCCATTTCTGGAATGTAGAACTAGTACTTTGGAACAATATCAAACAGAAAAACTGAAACATTTTCCTTTAAGCGTATTTTTAGATAAGGTACCGAAGCTATTGTAAATGTTTCTCTTTCATCCAAGCGCGTTTTGCTTCATGATTTTAGATCTGGCTTGAATTTGGGAGGATCAAACAAGTTGGAAGAAGGAACAAAGAACAACAAGAACAAAGGTGGGTGCACTATTATTTTAAAATAGCATAAACTAACAGTATAACCTTAATTTCACATTTAAACTACTCAACGGAAAAACAGTTTGGTCGGTGTGGTTCTTGGCAATAATTGGTGGGTGAAGAAGTGGAAAACTGGTAGTAGTATTTCCTATTTCCCTTAGCAGATACTACTGCTCATCTTGTCAATTTTCCACTTCTACACCTACATCAATAGAGGGCGCACAGAATTGAGCATGATGATGAGGTTAAAGAAGTTTCTGGCTAAAGGAACAACGAAAAACATTTCATTTTAATTTAATAAAAATAAGGAAAAGTGAAATAATGGCATTAACAAATGAGATTAGTTAAGAAGTTGTAGAAATAGGTCATTTCTACCTGCCTATAATCTCACATCTATTGCATTGCCTGGTGATGTCAGTCTGTCGCATCATTGTTGATACATTTTCAGACAGATATTAAATTTATGGTCTTGCTTAATTGATCTTGCTCTTTAGAAGCATCCCGAATTTACACTGAAATATATCCTCAATGCATTACTCCTGATCATACACAGCAACTAAGTCGAAAACGTCGTTAGATTCCGTTAAAATATCTAATTGCTTAATATTTTAAAGTTCCCGCTTTAGGAAATAATAATTATCAGCGCCAACCACTACTATTTACGTTTATCTGTTAGTGTCAGGCTTTATAAAGAGTAATGGTTGCAAATTAGACAACAGACCTGCACCACCGCAACCTGTTGATGGTTTCCAGCGATGAAAAACAATCAAATTCACAGTTAGATCTACTGTCTTCAAATGCGGAACAACAACTGACTCCCTTCGTCACCGTTGACCCGCACTATCACCCCCACATGCACTGTAGGTTGCCTACAATTCATGTATTTGTAATGCATCCTATTTCCCTTGAAATTCAAAATATTCAATCAAAAACTAAGCGTCAGGCAATTGTCAAATCAGTCAAATGTCAAATACCTGCATGATATGTCAAACTTCTATTGTCAATGTCCGTATAAAGCTCTAATTTTGCCATTGAGACACCCCGTTCGTTCTATTGTCCGTGTTCATAGAATTGAACTGGACAACTGGGCTTCTTCGGGGGCTAAAAACCGTGGGCGAGCCGCTCGCCTAACTCGGTCGAAATATTACACCACCTCCTCGACGGACTAATCCGGGCACAATGGAAAAATACGAATTAAAGTTAATGACAATAATGGCGGTCGCACAGGCCCACGGATACCCCGGCCGTGTTTTTGTGAATGACCCGGTACGGACGCAGACGACTAGATCCCGAAACCTATCATTACGGCGAAAAAGATACCGACGCGCGGTCGGAATCGAAATGGATTTGTCATTCGGTCGTTATTTTTAATGGGGCGGCGTGGTGCGGGGCCAAATTGCCGACCCCGGGCGATTACACAAATTTAAAATTAAATTATGAACTCGGCGTGGTGTTATGACTGTGGTAATTTGAGGCCGTTCTCCGTTTCCAGTCTTCTCTCGATCGGTTAACAAACATATAAAGACTTTCATGGAAAGCAAAAAGCGATCACAATAAAAATAATTAAGTATACAGGATCAGTTAAAAAGTCATGACGAAACAGAGTTGTTTTTTCCTTATTGGAACACCCTGTATATTATTCCATATTCCAAATCTCACGAAATTCCAAACAATAGTACATTATACTATAAGGGAGAGAAATGCGTTATTTTGGCAGAGGTGCAATTTGAAGCCCGAGGGCTAAAATGCACCGAGGACAAAATACCATCTCTCCCGAATGGTATATACTATTTTTTCCACGGTCTCATTAACTTAAAAACACATATTTTGTCATTATGAAGTAAGTAGCACCAGAATTATTGTATTCGGATTTGAGCATTTATTTAGTAGTCGTTGAGTTATTGTCATAACTACAAAATAAACAAACAAAAAGAATTGTCAAATTAAGGTGCTAGTTTGGTTTAGTTTAAAGTTTGTTTAGTGCACAATGAATAATTGTGAGTCGGAAGAGATTGTGGAGGCTGCAAATATTGCAATAAGCAATTTGCTGCCTACGAAGTCAAGATCTTTATACGATATAGCCTACAATCGGTTCAAAAAGTGGTGCGCCGAGAAAAATGTTCAAGTATACAGCGAGAATGTTTTGTTGGCATACTTCAGTGAAAATGCAAAGAATTACAAGTCTTCCACATTATGGGCGCAATATTCTATGGTTAAGTCATGCTTGATAATTTACGACAACATAGATATAAGCAAATTCCCCAAGCTGATCGCATTTTTGAAAAGAACCGGTGACGGATATCAAGCGAAAAAATCGAAAATATTGACAAAGGGTGAAATCGACCGTTTTCTATCAAGTGCAGATGACAAAGAATTCTTAATGATTAAGATAAGATTACTTTTGTTGTTAGATATTTCAATTATTAAGTATTTTGATATTTTATAGGTTGGATTAATTCTGGGGATTGCCGGAGCTTGTCGAACTGATGAACTAGTCAATTTAATTGTAGATGATATTGAGGATGTAGGCTCTTCCTTGATTGTAAAAATTCCAAACACTAAGACAAAGATTCCACGTACCTTTGTGGTTACCGATGTGGGAAATATGCTTGAATTGTTTCGAAAATACCTGTCCCTTCGTCCTCCCCACGTGAAGCATAAGCGCCTTTTTTTTGTACTACAAAGCAGGAAAATGTAGTTCGCAGCCAGTTGGCAAGAATACCATGGGAAAAATTCCGAGTGTAGTAGCTTCGTATTTAAAATTACCTGATGCTGCATGTTATACTGGTCACTGCTTACGAAGATCTTCAGCGACATTACTGGCAGATGCTGGTGTGGATATCACGACAATAAAGCGTCATGCTGGTTGGAAATCAACGACAGTCGCTGAGGGTTATGTCGAGAACTCCATTAAAAATAAGACCAAAATTGCTAATCAGGTTTTAGTAGGTACCACTACTAGCGCAATCACAAAAACTGTAAATGTAAGCGAAAGTAATATTCCTTCTAATATTAATTTTGAAAATTGTACAAATGTAACATTTAATTTAAATGTCAATAAATAATTTCAATGTTATCTTTTTTTTTGCATGAAAAACGTTCTCCATAATGTAAACTCCCTTGGGAGCATTATACTCCCTTGGGAATAATCGACTACTTCTGTTTTAATTTTGATGTCATAGAAACTGATTTCTACTCCCGACCGTGGAAAAAATTCATTATAGCGCATCATGTACCTAAATTCACCGTTTTCGAAATATTGAACTTTGAAAATCAAATTATCTTTGAAAGTGATCATCTTGACAACACATGTCAAAAATACAAGTGTGAATAATTTTCTCGCAAGAATGGCAAAAAATACATAATTCGTTTTATGCTTTTTCATCAACCCTGAACTATTATGCTTTTTTATTTTCTGTAAAAAAACTAATAATAAAATTAAATCATATCCATATCCTTCACCTTGAGTTATTTTCAAAATAAATACACATAATTTGGGGTCCTTTTTCTTTTATAAATTTGGGGGTAGTAAAAAGTCACTTTTAGTCAAAGTAAGTACATGATGTGCTATATGAACTTTGTTTACAATTTCGATAAGAATTGAAATATGGGATAATATACAGGGTGTTCCATTAAAGAAAAAGCAACTTTGTTGCGTCATAACTTTTTGACTGATCCTTTTTTTATTGTCATAGGTTTTAAAAAACACTAAAACGTTTGTATCTTATGATTTTTCGATAGATATCTTACTTTAGGAGATAATCGACCGTATCTATCAGCGAGCCTGTATAAATATGGGACAATTTTGCCTTAAGAATTCTTTGGACCTAGAAAAAAAATATGATTCATTTCTAGTTTTTGCTTAGCGATAATAATTTACTTCTCCAAAAATCATACAAGAATATAGCAACAATATATTTATAATTATGTTTAGATCAAGTCTAATAATTCAGCAACATACCATACAGGGTGTCCCGAAATTCATGCAACAAAATTTGGTCATAGATTCTTAAGACAAATTTAGGGGACCCGTATTTTTTCTTTTTGCCAATTGGCCCCCTCTTTCGGAGTTACAACCCCCTGAAATCTGCCCCTTTTTTTATATCTCAAAACCATGTTCTACGAGAATCACTAAATTTGGTACACAGGCGTTTTATGACATGTGGAATCTCACAGTGCTAAAGTATAAAGGGACAAAAAGTTTATAAATTTAATGGCTTCCTATAGGACAGATAATTTTTAAGAAATTTAAATATGCGACCAACTTTTTTTGGCTCCAAAGACAAGGGGGCCCACAAAAAATTGTCTTAAGGAGGTTACCCGCCAAAAATAGCACCATCAGATTCCACATGTCATAACCCCCCTGTGTACCAAATTTAGTGATTCTCGTACAACAGGGTTTAAAAAAAAAAAAAAGATTATTCTTAGGGGCGGACTTCAGAGGGCTGTAACTCCGAAAGAGGGGGCCACTTGGCAAAAATAAAAAATACGGGTTCCATAAATTTGTCTTAAGAATCAGTGACCAAATTTTGTTGCATGAATTTCGGGACACTGTCATTATCGGTACGAACGATATTCAGTTGTGACTCATTTTCTGTTGTTTTTATTGTTTCCCAAACTTCGCTCTTTCCGCAAATTGCCAATTAGCAGTAGTTGAGGTGTAATATTTTGTTTACGTTTTGTTCACCATAAATGAATGTAACAATATGTTATTCATCCATGGGGAAGCAATTCACGAATCACAATCATATACCACATACACCACATATATTTATCATACGCTAGGACATTATTTGTTGTCGTGTCTTCGTGTATTTTAGATATTGGTAGTGTTACTCTTCGCCTTGAATGGTGAAAACATTTTCTTGCCTGTAGATTTGCAGATATAAGATATTATTGACAATAACTCTATAGAAGCACAAGAACAATTGCTCGACTTCACAATTACGTAAGCTATAAATTGTTATTAACTTTACGCTTCTATATCTTAGAATCTACACAATAGAATGCTGTCGTATTTGGCTAAAAAGCAAGGGCTTACGACTTAGTTTTTATGTGTGCAAGATTTTGTCGATTGCATGGGAAATTCCCTGGGCAATAAATAATTGTTTATACAGTAAAATGTTGAAAAATAATGTTGATCATTGTTTATTATGAAAACAAGTATCTCCAAAAAATTATGTGCATTTCTAAACCTTAATTTAAACCGACGCCGACGGTACGCGATAACTTTTTGAAATTTTCTTAATTAACAATCCTGTCAATCGAAAACCACGCGATCGATTGTTGCAAAATTTTTAGGGTAGAATTGAAATATGTTTTACTATTTGTTCACAAAGTTTCGTCAACATTTATAAATATTTACTTATTTTAAAAATTGCTCGAAATATACATATGATTTTCTTTGATTCGCAGTTGTAACTTTACAGAAAATCGTCAAATAAACAAAAAATAAAGGATGACTGTTTTATTTAAGGCTTATTTTCAATGTTATAGGGAAAATATGTCGAAAAACGGGTAATTTTTCATTCTTTTTGTATATTTGTTGTTCCCCTGAATTTAACAATGGTTTTTTGGAATAGGCAAACTCGGATTCTTATTCTGCATAATATTTGGGATTTTTCTGTACAACAAAATAGATGAATTCAAATACAAACGCCTCGAATGTTCTACCGTCTGGACTATGTAGGTTAAAGAACAAAATACACAAAGAAACATACCTGGTGACGTTGTTATCTTCAAGGAACTTCTTCCTCAGCTCTGGATCCTCGTATTCCTCGAGGAGCTTGTTCTCGAAGGCCCCGGAGAAAGGGATAATTATCGCCCCGGGATCGTTTTTGTCAACCCATTCTTTGATTTTTATCAACCTGTTAACAAAGAGCGAAGAAAACAATAAGTTTTGCGTGCAAGGACAACAAAAGGATAACATGTGACGAACGTCGTGAGACACGAATATTTCGATGGTTTTAGAAAATTCCGATAAAAAATCGGTACACATCGGCCAGCTAACGGTTCAATCAAAGGTGGTTACAATGGGAAACCGCAAAGGTATCGGGACTTTTCTTTTCTTGTTGACAGGGTGTTATTAATTTCTGGGCTATTGTGTACTTTTTAATTGGGCAATTTAATTATTATCCTTGTACTACACACAACAGAGTGGTAGATGATGCCATTAGGTATATTTTTATATGAAAACATTAAAAATATGTATATGTATCAGGGTGGCTCAATAAAACGAATATTTTTTTCGTGTCTCTTGTGAAAATATGTTAGTTTATCATGTTTTAAGAACCCCCTCAAAAAATCAGCTCAAAAAAATTTTTTTAAAGGTCGCTCAAGATTTTTAAATATTTCCAAAATCGTCAACAATTGAATTTTTTTAAGTTTTTTTCTCGTTATTTTAGCATTTTCTAGGTTGCAAAAAAATCTCGATTTTGAAATCGATATTTTAATTTCTAAAGGTCAGTCATAATTATTTTCAAAGTAGTGTACCTAAAAAAATAAATATCAAGGAACTAATAAATAAATCACGAGACACTTAAAAAATTTCTCGAGGCAAAATTTACTACCGCACTGTGAATATCAAATATTTATAATTATTTTATTTTTTAAAATTTAAGTGTCTCGTGATTTATTTCCATACTTTTGTTCATCAAATTCAACCTTTAGAAATTAAAATATCGATTTGAAATTTTCTGAATCCAGATTTTTTTCAACCTAGAAAATGATAAAATAACGACAAAAAATTAAAATTGAAGAGGCTCTTAAAACATGATAAACTAACATATTTTCAAAAGAAACATGAAAAAAATATATTCGTTTTTTTTTTGGGCCACCCTAATATGTATACAGTGTGATCAGCTAAATGGAATAAATATAAATGGGGGCGTGTTCGAAAAACGCTCGGATACGTCGATTGGTAGTTTTAGTTCCGCATTTTTTGCAACAAAAACTTTTTATATAACGTGCGTCATGTAACAGTAGTGGTCAATACCAACTTTCTTATTTTAAATGCAACACCCTGTATATTATTCAATCTTAGGATTCTTCAGAAAATTCTAGACATATATTATGTACAATGTCCTATACGTATCTTCAACTGTTTCGGAAATATTAAGTGTTTTCAGATTTATTGCAAATATTTAACATTAAAAAAAGAAAATTATTTGATTACAGAAATTCTATACAGCACACTCAATGCGTATTTCCCATTTAGCTCTTGATAATGAGAAAGTAAGCAAAAACCATTTCAGCGTTCCTTTTTACTGATATGAAATAAAAAAAAAAACTATAAATAGTTTTGTTTACTTTTGTAAAACGCCTGGCTTAGCAACGTGTTGTCTGCCTGCATGACAGTAGTTGTCAGTGTTATAGTCGTTTGAATTTCGTTAACTGCATATCAGAAAAATGGTTCATTTAACAGAAATGCACAAAATAACAATTCTACAGATGATTGGTTATGGAGATAACACACGGATATAAATGAAAATTGCTCGCTTATTTCATGAAATATTTCCAAATTTGCCGCCTTATGACACACCCTGTATAAAAAGTTTCTGTTGAAAAAAATGCGCAACTAAAAATACCAATTGACGTGTCCGAGCGTTGTTTCGAACACGTCCTCATTTATTTATTATTGAATTTATTCTATTTGGCTGATCCACACTGTTCGTATTGTAATGATTGATTTCACAGACCAACAAAATTTAACTATTTTTTAGAAGCAGAAACTTGAATATATATTTCCGAAGGATTTACGTGCGCTGAATCCGAATCTGGCAGCAGAATTGCTCTATCGCGTCAGATTTTTGAGATATCCTAACCTAAAAGTCCAAAAAACATTGTTTTTCGTCATATTTGAGGTTATGTAGTAATACCATCTATTCTTTTTCAAAAAACTAATACATTGAATTTAAAAGTACAAGGCTCCCTCCTTCGAATGCCGTTGAGTTTGCTCAAATATCTTTTTTTTTTCGTTGAGATATCATATGTTGAAGTTTCTCAGTTTCTTAATATGCGAAAATCTACTAAAGATCCCTTAGACATGAAGCAGTCGATTGCAATTCAGAAACTTCATACCCATACCGTCTGTGGGTTTGGAGTTGGACGGCTTGGGGTTTGTAACTTTGGAGTTTTGTAGGTTCGGGTTTTGTAGGATTGGGGTTTGTGGGTTTACGGATTGTGGGTTTGGGGTTTGTGGATTTGGAGTTTGTGAGTTTGAGTTCGTATGTATTGAAGGTTTCTGAGTATGAAGTTTCTGAACTGCAATCAACTGTTTGACGTCTAAGGGATCCTTAGTAGATTTTCGCATATTAAGAAACTTAGACTTAGAAATTTCAAAATGTGATATCTCAACGAAAAAAAAAAGATATTTGAGCAAACTCAACGGCATTCGAAAGAGGGAGCCTTGTACTTTTAAATTATATGTATTTTTTTTTAAGACTAGATGACATTACTACATAACTCAAATATTACGAAAAACAGTGTTTTTGCACTTTTAGGTTAGGATATCTCAAAAACCTGACGTGATAGAGCAATTCTGCGGCCAGATTCGGATTCGGCGCACCAAAATCCTTCGGGAATGCATATTAGTGTGTCTACTTCTTGACCCTTGTCGACTTGTGTTAAAAACTGATGCTAGCTAATTGTTGCTCCTTAGTTGTGGAAACGCTGGCCACACGGAATATGCAACTGTATAATTTCCACGCCATGAAAGGCAGCACTCTCGGACTGTTACTATATCGGAAGCCATTCCATCACCTCCAATTATAATAATTATTAATCATCCTCCACTGTTGTGCAATTAATTAATTCATCGGGACCTCCTATGGCTGACGGTGCGGGCTCACGTGAGTTACCGGCGTTGAATAGCGAATTAAGTGCGATTGATGGCGTTGGCGGCCAGATCAAAGTCAATCAGCGACCATTATGGTTCCGTTTGGTACGCGGCACAGGCGCGGGCGGGCGGGGGCGCTTCGCCCCGCTAATTAAATCGCCCGCCACTGGGGGTGACCGGGTGGTCACCGGCCGCGTGTTCGAGTAGTTTAGGTTTTTAAGGGAAGATGGGGCTTTAATGTAATTTGCGGGGGTGAATTAGCTAATAAAAAAGAACATGCAAAACAGCGCTATAAACAAATTGTTCCAGGGATAGGCAAAAGCCGCTCGGGAATTCACTCTTTTTTGCATTAAATTAAATTTTGTGGTAATCTCAAAACTTTTTTTTATTACGTTAATTGTTAATTAACTATTGGACGAATCGGACCGGGATTTTAGAGACAATTAAAGATTTAAACTTTCATTTTCAGAAAGTTTTACATTGATAGTTTATGTAATAAATGCGCTAGCTGCAGTAAAAGTTAACGTTAAATGAGCGCCGGGACCGCGTATGCGCGTGAACGTCGCTCTCGGCGCGCGCGATATTTTTTACTTCAGCGGGGTTCGATTTGGAACTAATAATTTTTTTCACGTTCAATACTCTAATTCGACTGGAGTGTCAAAAATTCAATGAAACAAAAGTAATCTTATCCTCTTTTAGTTTGAGATGTTGAAACTTACATCTCCTCACTTCTTTGTGCTTCAAAGTGAGATTAATATACAGGGTATCCCAAAAAAAAAACGAACATCGCGATAACTTTTTAGGATTGAGTCCTATAAAAAATGTGTCAGATAAAAATTGCAGGATATTAATCCAATATGGTGGCGATCTTAGATATGACCGCGACATTAGATTTCAAGGTCAAATCAAGGTTATCTTAAAGCTATTAGAAGGAGCACTATATTTTTCATGCCAGTAATAGATAGAGCTGCAAATTTTACGTCTGAACATGGGATCAGAAATTTTTTTCTGTATGTATTTGCAGATCACGTTGATTAAGTACCTGGTCGCCATCAGCGACAAACTTACTTTGCACTTCCTTGGCCCTAGCTGGAAATATCACATCTGCCTTTGTTGTTCTCGAGCTAAGCTCTGTTGGGGCAAACCCGATATCAGAACCGCTAGGCCGCCCACTTCGGTTCTTGTTGTTAGCCGGTCGTTAGATAATGGTGATCCTTCCGTAGTAACCTCTGTAACTGGTCGCAAACGTTTCGCTATTGGTCTGGGTAGTTCCGTCCGCAGCGGTCTTAGATCTAGCAGAACGGAAATGAACTCAACGCGAGCCATGACGTTCTGATAACGGGTTCGCCTCCACAGAGCCTACAGGTAGTCCGAAAACAACAAAGACTTGTCAAAAATTTCCAGTTAAGGCAAGTCTATATCAGATTAACCTCAAATAAAGGTCTTCGACTTTGCCCCGCTCGAACCTACGAGCAGGACTATGAAGGGTTTTCGGTAATTAATCCACCTTCTTTTCGGCGGGTATTGTCAGGTTGATGGGCACCACGATCGGCCATTATCGCGGATGATGTTGCGTTTACCAACAGGAGGCATCATCGCTTAATAGGCCCTCGAACAACACATGTCCACATTCAATTGAATAATGAATGCATTCGCGGTGTTCCGAATGAAGATGATTAATAAATCGGTCGTAAGTATCCAGGGAATTTAAAACTCTCAAAATGGGTACCAAGAACATCGTTCGGTATGTATAGGGGAAAGGTCTAGTATCGAGATGTTCGAAGCTATGCCTTGACTTGATCAATGGGGTAATTTCCTTTAACGGCACAGAAAACGAAAATAGGTGTCCCAATATTCCGTGTATATAGAGCTACAACCATAGGTTCCTGCTATTAAAGAAGTAGATTTAACTAAACTTATCTCCAGCTTAAGTTGCTTCGTTTAGACGTTGTGAGTATCACAGCCAAAAAACATTCTTTTTTTTTTCAAATAACTTCAAACGCTTCAAATATTGAAACTAATACGTCCATATAGATGTCACTTTATGACACGGTGAACGAAGTATATGGATTAACAAAACTATGATTAGCTACAACTTCTACACTAGGCATAGAAATTAAGGGATATTAAGAAAATCACAAAATTTGGGTGATTTTCAAACAGCTTTAATTGTAGAGAATACTTTGCAATTTTCAAAAACTTACTTGGATTTTCTGTACGATCATTATTTCCCCAGTAATTGAATGCCCAAGTCAAAAATAACTTAACTCAGCGACATTTTTCTTGAAAATGGTACATGCTACCGAATTTCAACAAGTATACCTTTCTTTTTTTGTAGTATGTTTTAGAGTTTACAAAACCGTTTAGAAATGTAACAAATTTTGACTTTTAACATATTTCTTTTTCGATTGTACCCCTCCAATTACTTGTATCGGCGACACTGCTTTTCAGAAAGAAACCGTTTGCGCATTATTCTTAACGCACAGTGATGTTTACCCGTGTAGAAATTTTTACATTTTTATCTTTCACCGATTTAAAGATAATTAAGGAAAACCATATGTATACTTATAAGTAACAACTTCAACACACTGTATCTCGAAAACAGGGCATTCTAAGGAAAAAAACGTTCCATGAACTACCCCCATTATTTTTCCATGAGGAACTTGCACACAAGTTTTTTTTAAACATGAACGGGACACCCTGTACATTATTTTACTAAAACGTTCTAGGTTTTGTTATTGTTTACGTTTGTTACAGTGTTGCCACTACAATAGATTAAAATATTCTTAAGAAACTGGATTTGAAAGAGTGACCGCAAAAAACCTGCGATTTTCGCCCGTTTTTTCACAATTCGCAGAGAATTAAAAAAATACATAGAAATATATTTTTGGTCGCAAATTACTTGTCGTAAAAGCTGAAATGAGCATAGCTTTTAGTATTTTGAAAATATTAAAAATCACCCCTACTTAGGAGTTGAAAAAATACCAAAAATGAAGAATTTAAATATTATCAATTGATATCAAAACTATTAGCATGTGAATTATCTAATATATTTTTTTTGGAATTTTTACAATTATTTCTAATATTCTCTATTTTTGGGGATGATTCCACCCCCTGAGCGCGCTTAAGGGTGGATTTTCTAATTCAACATGCTTATTTCAGTCATGTGATTAAATCTTTCTCTGCATCAAGAATCATTCGATACAAAAATTCACATGCTAATAGTTTTTATATTGGTAATATTTAATTCTTCATTTTGCGCGTCTTTTCAACCCCTAAATAGAAGTGTTTTTTGAAAATTTTCAAAAAATAAAATCCATGCTCATCTTAATTTTTTACGAGTAATTTGAGACCAAAAAACATATTTTAATCTATTTTCTTTAGTTCTCTGCGAATTGTGAAAAAACGGCCGATTTTTGCGGTCACTCTTTCTCTTACTGACGTCGCAACACATATTTTAACGTTTTTGGGATCCTAAATGAGTCCAGAATAAAGGGAACAAAAGTATGGGGATATCATACACTATTGGGAAAATTAAAAGAACAAAAAATTTTCACGAGTTTTTTAATGATTTCGAAAGGCTGCATCTCAATGAAAAATAATAGTATTGAGATTTAAAAAAAAGCATTTTGAAGCTATAAGTCTCTAGTTTCTAGATATTTAGACAACAAATTTTTTGAGCTACGGTTATCGAGCAATCAAAATACATCGAGAAAAAAATTCATAAATGTAGAAAAATTTTTAGATTTTTTTTTATTTAAACTATATTTAATGCAATTTTTTTCCTTTAGTTTTTTTCCAGTAGTGTATCTTTTAAACTAGTTTAATTTTGTGATGTAGTTAAAAAATTGGAAAACAACTCATTGCATCAAAACTTATGCAATAATTATAGTGGAGTATGATTATCATAACAAATCTAAACATACTTACCACTTATTTTTCTTTTTAATATAATCCTTTTCCGCAAGATTAATTAAGTAGATGGCTGGTTTAGAGGTTAAAAATAAATATTTATTGAGTACTTCAATCTGAAAATAAAAACACACATCAGTTTTTTTTACATCTCGACATCACCCCGTAATATTTTCAACTTTATTTTATTTTGAAAACGTACACAACATTTTTGTAATTTCAAATGTAGAAATACATTTTTAAATGTTTAAATTTACCGGAAACGATAACAGTTTTCAGACATGTCAGAAATTTAAATAACTAATTGGCGAGTAGTGCATCAATCACCTCCGTTATCATATTCCACTTCAACAGCAGTTGTGAAATATTGAATAGGCTGGAATATATCTATGGGCAACAAACAACAAAGGGTGATTTTATTGAGATTTACATAACAAAAAAGTACACAGGAGAAATTAATTTAATTACAACATTGCGCTATTGGATATGGTCATAGAGAAGTAGGTGTAAATACATGTATATCCTATCAATAAAAGCGTGTACCGATCCTATCTATTCAATTGGACCAACGATTCCATTTGTATTAATACAGGTACGACAATAGGCTAGCAGTTAAGACCGAGAATCAATGAACTAACGGCAAATCTTGTAATGAAAATATGTTTTATCGTGATATTTAGTTTGGTGTAAAAAGCCTACAAGAAAAGAAAGATGTCTTATTTCACCAGATAGGCAAATATTTAAGAAGTTATAAAACTAGAAATACAGTTTACGCCAATTATTATTATATTTTTTGAATCTTTGAAAAATATTAAAAGGCATAATCTAAAAAAGTAAAAGAAATTTAAATTTTTAGATGCTTTTAAAGATAACATTGACACATAAAGGGAATATACAAGAAATTAAATTAAATTTTATACTTCAATTTATACATGCCCTCTTCCTTATTATTTCTATACTTGGTCAAGCTTCAGTACTGGATTTTACGTCGAAAATTAACAAATAAAAAAGTTTTAGATGTTAGCGAGAAATTTTATTTTTCAAAATATTTTAAATTCAAATCAATAGAGGCTTTACAAAAATATGTCACACCAAATTATTTTCTAAATATTTAATGACTTTAATAATTGAAGTAATTACATAAATCAAATTATTTAAGTACATAATTTTTTCCAACTGTTTTTTGCACCTCAAAAATGAAGCTGTTTTTTATCTGCAATTAAAGCTTGACCAAGTAATTAGTTACTACATGTATGAAGAGAAAATTAAAAAAATAAACGTTTATAAAAAGAGTAATGAACTTTTGAAAGAGCCTACCAAATTGAAGTAAAAATTCTAGAAATATTTATAGGCAAATAAACGAGAGAACATTTTTAAAATATTTTCAAGTTTAAAGTCAATGTTTGTATGAATTAAATAAATGTATTGTTAAGCAAATAATTTTAAAATGTCTCAAAAGCTTTTAGACCATGTTTTGGTTGATTTACATCTTTGAATAAATACGGGGTTCCAAAAATTGTGTTGTAAATACAAAAAAAAATGTATATTTGTAATATTATGTGTAAGTTTTAGTTCGAAATACATTTTTTAAATACAGGGCGTTAATTAGGTAGGTCGATAAACTTTAAGAGGCGATTCTTTGAGTGATTTTAAACCAAAGAGGTTATATAAATGCGGGTCCACACGTAGATAGTTTTTGGGATACAGGGTGTTCAAATTTAAATACAATTTCTAAAATATCTTTAACCTTGATGGGAAATGATAACACTTAGGTTAAATATTTAACTAATGAAAGGTAAGAATCTACAGTGTGATTCATAACTTATCCAAAAAAATTGGGAATAGATGCGGCATGAGAAATGGAGTTAATGTCGTAAAAAAAATGTTGTAAATCCTTGTAGTTTCCGAGAAAAAATTATTGAAGTTGTAGTACTTTCAGCATTACATCACTGGACAACTGTAGTCTCTAGCGTCATTCGCAATGCGCGTGGGGAGCCATGTGGCGTTAGCGACTCCTAATACTGAAATCCGATTTTACAATCATCGTTGCGATAGTGTTTACATTAGTTTTTTAGTAGTTTGTGTTAGAAATCGCTTGCTTGTATAGCAACTCGGAGTTGATGCATATCGTTTTAATTCATGGTGAAGCAAGACAACATTTGTATTATGGTGAAACAGTATAACATTTGTGTTAGTTCGTAGAAACTGAGTAAGACGGTTACATGTCGGTGGACAAAATTTTGAACAGTTGTTGTAACATCAGGTATGACAAATTATTTTATTAAGTAAAACCACAAATTAATTTAATTAATTAATAATACCAATAGCGGCAAAAGCAGTTGAATTTGCTGATATAAAATAGGTGTTATAAATTATATTTATTTCTTTCCTTGCGAAATTCTTTCAAGTTTTTGTCCGTTTTTTTATTACACTTCGCATTGTGTAAGGTCAGGTTTTACAGTGGACCAGTTTCCAGTGCCGTGCAGAAGTATATTTTTAAATCATTTTTGAACTGCCCTTTCTGATTTTTTATTTATACAAAATTATATTTGTAAGAGTACATCCAATTTTTTTTTGATAAGTTCTGAATTGCCCTGTATAGAATTCGCATAATATTATGTGTGCACCTAGTGGAGATGACGGGAGTCAGTAAAAACTTCAGAAATTCAACGTCACTGGATATTTTTAAACTCAGTCACTGCATGTAACTGCAAGTGATGCTTCCAAGAACAAAAGAATTTTTCAGTTTAATGGTGCAAAAGTTATAAGAGCAAAAATTGAAAACTATGCCACAAATAAATACCTAACTAATATTAATCAGACAATATACAACACAACTTTACAACCATCCAATTCTTATAAAAAGTATATGAATTTTTTTCTCTTAGAAATACAATATACAAGATAATTATAAAAATTTAGAAAAAATCATAGCTCAGATGGTGCCAATTATTTTCTCGAATTGCATTGCATTTAAATTGGTGTTTCTACAAAATACCTAAAAAACTTATGAATTTTTGTTGTGAAACGCATGTACATTAAAAAAGGTAATAACCCGAAAACAATTCAAAAAAATAAAAGGCCTACATCTTTTTTCTTGGAAATGTCATTTATAGTTACAAGTAGTGATAGAATTTTCCAAAATAGCGACGAATTTTTAAGGTTTTCAGTGAGAATGACTTCTGACTCTCCACCACTGGTAAACGTATTTGTATTCGACTTTAGTGGATTTTTACCTTTTATTATACAAATCATACGCCAAAGCTTCATTAATCTACCTTCAAAAACATCTTGAAAAATATCTTAGAAAAAGATATCTCGAAATCTATTAAAGACTAATGTTTATACAACTTTTTCACAACAAAGATTATTGGCATAATTAATTAACATTTAACAGAATAAGTACTGTTATATCTATGTTCTATTCTGTTATCGGTACCGAAATTTTGAGCTTAACCGCTCGCCTATATCTCACGATACAATCGAACCTGTGCGACACGGTGCCGAACGATGACTCCGTACAATGTTAATACGGCATAATAATATCACCACCTGGTGATTCGCTTTATGTAGACTGGCATTGACACCATCTACGAGGGTTTTGACGCAGCAGGAGTCACTTAGGATGTTGGCGAGGCGTCCTAACAGCTCGACGGTGACTCGCACATTCCCCTACAACGATCCATCATGCACTTTTTACGTTTATATGACAGACAAATCATTAAAACCGTCCGAAACCCGTGTACAAAAAAATCCGACATGTCCATTGTTATTGCTTGTGGGAAATTTTATTATTTGAGTGGTGCCATTCTCTGGGCCCGGACTTATGTCCCGCGTTTTATTAAAAAAATAGTGATATGATGTTTATATGAGTGTACTTTATCTCAAGTCGGCCCTTTCCAACATTTATTTAAGCGTAATATAATCCATTACTTGTTTTAAAATGTAATAAACAATACACTCACTAAAAAGACCAATGTTTGTTCTATTATACAGGATGGTATATTTTTGTGTGAAAAAAGACATGCTAGTACCCATAGCTACGCCACTGGTTATTTACGAAAACTGCATTTTTTTATTTTGTAGCTACCAACATACTAGACATATACCAAATTTGTTAAAAACATCTCAAACGGTTTGGAAATTAAAAATGTAATTTTTTTTTAGTTTTGCGCTCAAAAATAATGACCTTAGGATGTTTATTTAACTGTAATTTTAGCAACAGAATACGCCTCTGGACATGCTGCATGCATTTAGGAAACACTCTGTATACAGGTCTCAATAGAAGGATAAAGATATTATTGAGAAAAAAATAAGAATTTGCAAGTCTTCCATACAAAATTTTTTAAATTTAGGTCATTTTTATGCAATTATTTATAACTTATGACGTGCTTTTATTAGCATTAGCATGTAGCATTTATTTCAAAGGCATGGTAAATTAAATATGAATTAACGAAATTATGTATTTCAATATAAAATATTTAGGTAGATTACCAAATAAACAAATCCATTAGACGTAAAATATAGATAAGAGCATGTAATGTCGAAAATATTTAACGATCTTTCCAATGTTCAAAAATTGAAACTACGATTCGCTATTGTAAATCATTTAAATATTTAAACAATAATTAACACAGTATTGAAAACAGTGGCATATTAATTCAGTTCGTTATACATTATTACTTACATCTTTTCCATCCCAATCAGCAAACCTAATGTGTTTCTTCTCATCCATTAGAACTTGCTTAACCTTTTGTAACGTGTCCTGAAACAAAATATTATCCTTGAATCTGAAGTATCATACTTCAAATTATAGAAACATCGTTAATTTCAATAAACGCATTGATTTTTTAATTTTTTGTTTTAATATTCCTGGAATTAGAATAAAATATTGAGACAAAAACAATTATATCCTTGTATTATAAATATTTGTAGAACTATACAGGGTGTCTCAATAGTCCGTGTACATTGTGTTTACAGTTTCCTGCAATGCAAATAAACAGATTTAAGTAATCTCTGTTGCTTTGTATATCAGCTAAAAGAAATCAACGCTGACAAGAAAATTGTTTTTTTTATCCTTGTAGGATCTTATTGAAATTTGGTACACCAATACTTTCATATAGATGTCACTTTATGGCATAGTAAACGAACTAATTGGATTAACAAAACTGTGAAGAATACTCCCTCCTTTGAACTAACCTCTTCATCACTTTGTCGGGAATCATGCTATAGCTCCTATCTTGTTTTGTTTTAAAGATGGAGAGTTTGTTAATAAAAAATCCCTCTTCTAAAACGATCAATTTGGTGTGTCTGACAATCTAGGTTGTCAAGCTTGCATGTGTGTAGTGTAGAGGAGTTTGAATTGAGATTGAAGTCGAATATGAATGAAATCTTTTCTTTTTTGTTTTATTGCAGTACAATGCAATCTGCGGCAATAAGTAATAGGCCACTATTAGACTAGTGAATTTTAATCAAGCTTGCCAGCAGACAAACTCGACACGTCTGGAAATCTACCTAAGCTACAAACTTTTGTCATCAACTTGGCTAATTAGGCCAAGTTGGCTCTTATCTGTGCATGTGCAGAGGACTTTAGAGTTCGTAGAAGAAGAAGAAGAGATCTTGGAGTCAGGTGTTTTGGTGTTCTCAGCTTTAGTTTTAGAGGTTAAGTTATAGATGCGATAAAAAGCGCTGTTTAATCTTTTGTGGAAGAATAAAGTCGTTTTTAAAGAAAGTATTGTGTATGGTTCCTGAAACGAGCTCCGAAGTAGATCTCCAGGTATTCAGCTCAAGTATTTTGTCCGATTTGTTGTTTAACTGAGAAACCACGTGGTGAAAAACGTGTAAACATGTTTCCAGCAGAAGAGTTCAAAATTATTTGAAAAAAAAAAAAATTGTCGTATTTGATGTCCTCTAGCGGTTATACGAAGCAACTTAGGATAGAGGTAAGTTTAGTTTAGATCTACTTATTCTGATCGCAGGAAATAATTCTGGTATCTGTGTTTAACTTTCGAACGTACACCTTGTCTTTTGACTTCCCCTTTTTTTCCATATCGATAGAATAAGGCACAGGTCTCTAGCAATTAAAAAAATCATTTTTGTCCTCAATTTTCCATCTGGAAAATGGCGTTTCCAATAAAATACATATTGGATCATACATAGGAAACATTTCTACAATTATTATACACAACAAATATTAACAAAGAACCGTTATAATCGTGCACTGAGCAACGCGTGTCGTGTAAACTTTTAAAGGTAAGGGCTGGCGATGCTGCTTCAATATCTGCGTCACTCGTTCCCCACGCCGTAGTTTAATCACGTATTGGTCGCCTCGTTGCCATGACAACCGCCGTAAACAACGCTACGAAGAGAAGCAGAATACAGACTGATTTCAATCTGCGTCCCTTGCGTATGTACCATACGTTGTATGTTCCGAGGTTGATGTTGGCGCTCAACGAAGGCAATGTTTTTTTAGAAGGCGTTCACCGCATAACTATTCTGCTTATTTCTGCGTATTAAACCAACAAACGCAATACATTTTCAATATAGAATTATACCTAAATTATAAAATTTATATAAAATTAGAAATAATTTTAAATTGCACAACTAGGCGGAAATTTTAAGTGAAGCGGTGCATCACTTGCGTCACCTGACGAGCCGCCACTGCCTTGGATATTGTAAAATAAATAAATAAATAAATAAATAAATAAATAAATAAATAAATAAAGTACGTATTTCTGTAAATCTCGTTCTGTGCAACATAAAAATTCATTGCCTCCATCAGAACCGTCGATAGACGATGACAGGGCACAAAAACGGACACATCCGAAATAATTGATTTCCAGGACGCACCGACGCGACGTGTAATTCGATTAGCGATTAGAGGACGGCACCGGCGAGTTGACAGGCCGGCCCGGGCCCCGGGTCGGGCACGGGCCACGTCCTGGGCGGGCCAGAGGGCGCCCCGCTGAGGAGCGCCTCGCAGCGCCCGACGGCGGGGGGCCCTCCCCCCAGGTGTTACCTTATTAGTATCGTCGGCGAGGGGTCACGAGGGTCACGCGTCTCCTCCACGTATTTGGACGGACCGACCGAACAGGATGACGCCGAGTGTATTGAAAGTTCAGGATTAATGCAAATAACATTTATAGCAGGAATAACTATTGTCAAAAGGGAAGCAATTCAGTATGTCAAATTCTTAAGACGTCTATTATCAAAGAAGCATGCTGGAATCTAAATTTAGCCCACTTCTTAAGAACAACGTGATTCTCACATTAATTTTAACAACGTATTCGGAAGGCCTAATAGAGACAGAAAACCGGAAAAAAATACTATAAAAAATAAGCAAATTACCTCTTAACGGACCACAAAGCGTTCGAACGTTGAAGCGAAACAGCTGATTTCCCTTGTCGTCTTGAATTTTGCAATAGGTTTCAAAATCAAAGTACTACTCTTTGAAAAGCAATAAGTTACACAATAGATGGTGTACGTACTACAAACTGAGTAATTCAATAATAAAATATAGTAAAAACGTTAACAATATTAAAAATAAGAAATAACTTAACATTCGAAAACAATTATTGTCTTTATACATATGTTTTTATTAACTAATAAATAATAAATTTGTTAATATTTATAATGAAATAAAATATCTTATTCATTCATGTGTTAAGGTAAAAAAGTATGTTTTTGTCGTTCACTATTAAAAACGCAGTAAGAGTTAGGTTAGTGAATGAATACAGTAGGGCAGGGGTCGGCAAACCGCGGCTCGCGAGCCGCATGCGGCTCTTCAAGTTCCCCTAAAAATTAAAAGTTAAAGCGGACAGACACGCAGCACACGAGTACACATAAAGACGCGTATAAACTTCCGTATCCGTATAAAAACAGAAATAAAAATTTGTGGCTCTTTGAAATTCATGAATTTGATATCTTTATTGCAGATGGCTCTTCCGGCTTAAAAGTTTGCCGACCCCTGCGGTAGGACAAGATTCACTCTCGATAAACCTTTGTAGGTCAACAGTCAAGAGTGATCCCAAAAGGGGTTTAAATAATGATTTGAACATATTTTTTTCAGCGTAAATATGCATTTTCGAATTCTACTCATTTTTCCCTATCTTCCCTTAAAATTAATGACATTATAATTGAATCACCCTGTATAAGAGTTTTAAATTATAGAACCATCACTGTTATTATGTAACTCATTAACATCCAGTTTCACAATCAGTGATTAACTAGCAGTTAATTCCTTACCAAAGGTTAACTGCATCTGAGCTGTTTCACGACATCTAAACTAATGCAAAAAATTAAAGGGGTAAAAGAATTTCCGAAACTTTTCTGTGATTTTTGACAGACTGTATTTATTAGGTGAAAAATGGTCGTATCGGGAATTAAAAAAAAAGCATTCTGAAGCTCTAAGATTCTAGTTTTAAGAACTTTCGGTATAAATTTTTTAGGAGCTAAGGTTATCATGCAATTCTAAAAAATAGCGCGACAAAAAATTTTTACAAATTGTCCACGGACACAGAATTTTTCTTTTTCAGCGAAGCCATTGCATGGACTAGATAACTTGTTTATTCAGTTTCAATTTCCTTTTTTTTAATTTCGATACGACCATTTTTCATCGAAATATCGGACTTTTAATGGCAAAGGATCCTTTTGTCTTCAATTATCGATATCTCGGCTACAAATGGTCGTACAGAGAATTGAAGGACAGTTTCGAAAACTGGAATAAATTTCCTATAACATGCTGATGCAACTTTTCGGAATTCTCATGTGATTTCGTCCCCTTAAAAAAACAGTATGGGTCATTCATTCATTATCAAATATGAACACTTTAATTTTCACCCAGCCTCCACTGACGGGATCTACACTTCGGACAACCATTTAACGAACCGAGCGACAATGTCCGCCAGGATATCGACAAAACGCCAACACCTGACGATGACATGACAAGAGCTGGCGTTGTTGGGTCGGAACAACATCACAGGCGTCATGTTAACAGGGCGACATGTCCGATCTTAATGAAATCTACGGCCACACAAGACGCATGCGCCACTCATTTACATAATACAGGATCGCATTTCATCTTTCTCGTGTTCCGGCCGAAACCGAATCGACGAGTCATTGCCTACGCGACCCGTCACTTTCCTTTCCCGGCTTGTAAAATGCAAAACAGAAGAATATCTCGCGTCGCATCATTCCAACCGAATCGCAGCTTGATTGATTGATTGTGGAAAAAAGGAACAGGTACCTCGGGGCTCTTTTTCAAACTGAATTAGGCTGCTAAAATGCCGTAATCCGTATAATCAATTGGATGATGATAAATGACATGGAGAAGTAAACTTTAACCGTTCGTAATTTTCGAGTTATTATGACATTTGTATTGTCCAACTAACCGGCAAACTGTGTTTTGAAAAAATGCCATAAAGGCGATTTTGTATTTGGTTTTGCGAGACAGGGCAAATTATTTTTTTAAGATCAATTTTTTTCTATATATTCTTCAAGAAACACTGTAGGTATTGCATTGAAATCTATACAACCAGGTTTTTGAGGAAGTTTAGTTTTCAACTAGCTCACAGAGGCTAGCTTTGACTCGCCCTGCGAAGTTTTAGAGCATAACTTCCTTGAGACTAGTTATACATTAATAGGGCTCTATAGCAAATAGCCAACCAGCAATACATTTTTATAGATTTTATTACAGTTTCTCTAAAGACGAATTAATGCATAAATAACAGACTTTCCTCCATTCTAACGCAGATTTTATATAAAATGAACTTAATTTGAAACTCAAATTACATTTTGGTGTAAAGAAGTCTGTAATATGTTATTATTTGCCGCTAGTTTAAAAGCGGCAAATAATAACATAATAAGTCCATTTTATAAAAAATTTGCCTTAAAATGGAGGAAAGTCTATTATTTGTGCATTAATTCATATTTAGACAAACTGTGTAATAAAATCTATAAAAATGTATTGCTGGTTGCCTATTTGCTATAGATCTCTCTTAACTAAACAGTACAATATTCAGTAACAACTAAATAAATCTCTTATAGAACTAGCTTTATTGAGTTCTGAGTTACTAATATATTACTTTAAAAGTTAATGAAATTACGTTTGCTTTAGAAATAGGTAGTAGCTGGCTTTGTCACAACATTTTCTAAAAAGCATATTCAGTGATTTTAACAGGAATATTCTTTTTCCTGTAAAATTAAATGTTACACTTAATTTTCAAAGGTCACACTTGGGGTGAGCCACCTTAAAGGTCACACTAGTGCGAATTGGGATTTTGCCAAATTTGAATCTTTATTTTCTTTATTTGTTAACGAAAACAGCGTTTTATATCAAAACTGGAGTAAGATTTTACAAAAAATCGAATGATGTAATTAGGTTTGAAAAGATTCATTTTTTAACAAAAAATTGCGAATGAAAAAAAAAGTTTTCGAAAAATGACTTTTAATTCGTATTTTTTATAAATAATGGCTAGAGAAAAAGTAAAAAAAGGATTTTGAAATTCAAAGTTTATATTTTTAAGAAAAAAACACCCAATATTGATAAAATTATATTATCGACTTTTCCGTTATCTCGAATATGGACATTTTTTAAAGTTGTGACTTTTGTCTCCTTTTCTGTAAATTGATATTTATTTTTTGCACTCTTTTGTATAAAAATATTATTATCTATAAATATTGACGAATACATGTTCCCATTAAAGTCACACTAGTCCGAATTTGCACTCTCTAGTTTGGCCGACAATAACAAACTGAGGCCAGCTGTGGTCCGGCTCGTCTGTCTGGGCTACAGAAGGAATTATCATGGGGGGGGGACCTTCGGCAGCTGCTACCTGAGAAATGCCAGCTGTTAAAAAAACAGTGTTGCGAATTCGCACTAGAGCGACCTTTGTGGGTTAATATAAAACATATAAAGTAGAAAATATAAAAGTTATACTTTAAAATATCGCCCTGCAGGATAGTAGCCAGCGATCTTGAAATGATAGTCGACAACTAATAATAGTGACGTATTGAATATCAATACGTTAGTACTAAATCTAAATGCAATGAAAAATATGGATGATAGTCAAAGTTTCATTATGGCATCTTTCTTCAAGACACCCTGTCTATGAATCAAGACGCAACGATAAGTATTTTTGATAGTACTACCCTACTTTATAAACTTTATTAAACGTTGAAAAAACTTACATATTCTGGCTTCTGCTTCTTGTCCCCACCCCTAAGCACAGTCCTCTCCAATTTCTCCAAATTCTTCGCCAGCGTCTCCTCGTCCTTCAGCCGCAGTTCCTCACAAATGATATCTAAATCCCTAACGGGGTTGACATCCCCTTCTACGTGCGTGACGTCGTCATCCTCGAAAGCTCCTAAAAACATATCGATATAACGGAGCGTACTCCAAATTTAGACGCTAAACTTACTGCACAGGTGAAAGATGGCGTCGCAAGCGCTGATGTGCGAAAGAAAGGCGTTTCCGAGACCTTGCCCTTCGGAGGCGCCCTTTACCAGACCGGCTATGTCCACCACGTTTAGAAAAGCAGGAACTTCACTGAAACAAATAGATTTGTAAATGATCCTGGCGAATTAGACCAAACACATGCCTATTTCAAAAAATCGGGCCTAACTCGAATTTTATGGGCTTAAAATTAAGTAAAAAATACACGGAATAAAAGCTTAAATTTGTGTATTTGTAGAGGTCGAGCGTCATATTGTTTATAAAAAAAGAAAAAATAATAATTGCTTTTTTCAGTATTTCGCTTATCTTCGAAAAAAGCCTCCAATCGATATGAGGTATACTTATCGATTTTGTTCTTGAAAATGGCGGCATATTGCAAAATTATAAAGTCGAAAACGCGAGCGCGTATATCTTCTGCCCAAGTCAAGAAATCGAAATTTGGTTGGAAATTTGTATATTAAAAAATCGCCGAAAAAAGGACCCTAGATGCCGTTTTTTTTTGGTTTTTTGTTAAAAACTTTTTTATTTTGCAACTTAACAATCTGAAATTTACACAGACGCGAGATAGTATCCGATACTTTTTTGCCGAATTTCGATATCTTGACTTGGGCAGAAGATATACGTGGTCGTGGGTATTTGTTGAGCACCCCAACAGTCATCTTTTCCTGTAGTTTCATCCAATTTCAGTCAAATCTGTTCTCTTTATTTAATTCTGAAAATTTAGCACATTTTTTTTCACCGCTAATTTTGCAATGTAAAAAAAATTGCGAGCTTTCGCAAAAGCCTATTATTGTAGCAAATTTCCTCAGGAACAAAATCGATAAGTATACCTCATGTCGACTAAAGACTTATTTTCGGAGATATGAGCAAAAAACTGAAACAAAGCAATTTTTTTCTTTTGTTATAAACAATATGACGCTCGACCTCTACAAATACACAAATTTAGACTTTTATTGTTTTTTTTTGGTTTTTGAAAAAAAAAACCTAATTCGCCCGGACTAAAAGGACAACAACCATTAAGGCCGTTAATTTTTATGGTAATAGCATAAAAGCAATTTTTAGGCACTTATTAAACAAAATAGCAGGCACGTACGCGTATTGTTGCGGAGCTTGACTGATAACGACGATCACCGATATTTCTAAATTTTCCATGTTAGAGTACACCCTGGAGGAATTCCTTATAAAGATAGAAATAGGCCAAGCAAATAAGATTTTTACTCGAAAAAAGTCCTATCCGAGAGATTATTGTAAAATTGTCTAAAGGAACATAATTCAAGACATCTCTATAACTTTTCTAACTTTTCTATTTAAACAAATAAATGAGAAAAACAGTTTTTTCACTTTGCAGGGAAAACCATCAATTTTAGCGAAAAGTCACTCTCAGGCAGCTTGTAGGGAGTAAAATTATCTACAAAATGAGACTTGCTAAATTAAAATTGGTTAATAAACAAAAAAGTTATTGCAAAAAAAACAAGAAAAGTGACCATTTTTTAATTTGTTTATAACTAACGCATTTATTGTTAAAATTTTATAAAACCTATGACAAGCTGACGGTTCTATCATACTTCAAAAGTGTGCCAAAAGTGGGCGCTGTAGGTGCAATAGTTTTCGCACAATTCAATATGTTTATAACGGAGGCTTCAAAAGTTATGAACTTTAAGACTCTGTACAGGCGTTAATTTTCAACCAAACATGATTCTGAAAGCGTCATTGTAATATTAAAAAAGCACCCTCTACGGAGCCAGGATAAGATTTAAAAAAAAATCGTAGCGCAATTGTTTATAAATATTAAGACTTGGATTTTTCGAAAAATAAAGTTTACGACGTAAACTACGATTTCCCGTGAATTGCATTGAAAAATTTGGAAAATTAACGACTCACGAGCTCTTCAAAGAGAAGGTACTCTCTAACTAAACTGTATCTTGGTTCCTGTCGGTCGTAGAGGGTGCTTTTTTTAAATTTGTATTTTTTTGCCTGCTATCCATTGTATATATTTTCGGTGAGGTAGCATAAATAGCAACAATTTTATTCAAATTGTTTATAAGCGAAAAACGCACGGTTTTTTAATGCACAATTTGAGAATGTTAATGTCCAAAAAACGGTGATATTTTTTAATAGGTCGCTTAATTACGTTTTTAAGATTACAATGACGCTTTCATGTTTGGTTGAAAATTAACGCCTGTACAGAGGCTTAAAGTTCATAACTTTTGGAACCTCCGCTATAAACAAATTGAATTGTGCGAAAACTATTGCACCTACAGCGCCCACTTTTGGCACACTTTTAAAGTATGGCAAAACCCTCAACTTGTCATAGGTTTTATGAAATTTTAACAATAAATGCGATAGTTATAAACAAATTAAAAAATGGGCACTTTTCTTGTTTTTTTGCAATAACTTTTTTGTTTATTAACCGATTTTAATTTAACAAGTTTCATTTTGTAGATAATTTTACTCCCTACAAGCTGTATGTGAGCCACTTGTCGCTAAAATTGATGGTTTTCCCCGCAAAGTGAAAAAACTGTTTTCCCCACTTATTTGTTTCAACATAAAAGTTAGCTAATAAAAGTTTTTGACTCACGAGATGAGAGATGTCTTGTATTATATTCCTTTAGACAATTTTACAATAATCTCGCGGATAGGACTTTTTTCGAGTTTCTCTATTATTTTCGCTAATGTTCCTAGTGTAAAAGCAAAGAGCACTTTTATAGAGAAATTATCTTGGTGGTATGGACGACATTACTATGTTTTGCTTTTTCATAGTAATTTTACATTTTAATTAAAATCATTGCCTCAGAAAACTAAAGTTAATTATAGAGTACACATTCCCTGTAAATATTGCCATTTCCTTTTCTCGTTTCAGACGGACACAGCACTCAATTCACCCGCCTAGATCGTAACGCAGATAACGAAAAATTATCAGGTATGTGATACGCAGCAAGACTGATTAAAACCCTAAGAATCACCTGCGAAGATAAATTACAGTAATGCGAGGAAAAGATGGTTTTTACCGAATTAAGTGTACCTGCTGTCATTTGGTGTAATCGAAGGGACCGAGCTGGGACACGGTCGAAATGAAAACGATCTCTAATAATAGAAATCGAGGAAAATGAGACAAATTGGATCAGCGCACCTTATTCGAACCGCAGAGGGCCTGCTCTATAATTTGTCGCGATTCAACAATTTACTCTACAGCCACGTCTGCAGTCCCGAGGTCACACGTTTGAGGGTTTAGAAAATAGTCTTCCCCGTCTCATATTTTAATAGTACATATACATACCTACACATAACTTTTTAATTAAAATTCTAAGATGAATTATGGGAAAGTTATCAAATCAAATCAGTATGAGTTAAAATGATTTTATATTTTGATTATTTGTTATTAACTCTGTAGAAATCATTGAAAAATATGTTTTAAATCCATTAAAGCAGTTTATTTGAAGTTGGATAATAAATATCCAGGTATAATATTCTCAAACAAAAATGTAATTTAAATTTTAAAAAAGCAAAATCTATCTGAGACTTCAATAATATATTTTTTTAAATATTACCACATAAGAATAAAATTGAAGGATATAAAAAAAATTTCGATTTCATGATGCCTTACTTAATAGAGAAATACCACAAGGAATTTTACAAGCAACTTCATAATATTATGTAAACAACATCATTTTTTTACTCATTAATTGTTTCTGTATTAAAAATGTACGTTTTCTAGAAGAAAAATAAACATACAATCTTAAATACATTATTGTTATATTTAGATTTTTTAGTACTTCATCCTCTTATGTTCTATGAAAGGCACTATCCCCTTTAGCAATTTTTTTCGTTGGTATTTTTAAATTATTTTGTTAATTTTACTTATTTTGTATTTTTTATATATTATTTAAGGTACCGAAATATTTTGTAGACTCGAATCAATAAAAGATCAAAAATAGAAATGATTTTAAAATATGTATGCTATTAGCACTTCATAAATCAACGCTTCAGTTGCATTAACAAATACACATATGACTAATAACAATAATTGTCTTGTTTCAATTTTCGAATGAAAATTGTGCTAGGATTTTTTTCAATAATATTAAATGTAATAAAGTGAAGATCATTTTCCCAAATTGCAAGTATACCGGGTGATTCAGTTTGGAATTCGCTGCCCTGTATCTATTTTATTTTAACAAATAGCTATAACAAACCCTATATATTTTTAAATCGCCGCTCAAACTCTATCAAATGACATTATTAGATCGTCTCCATGGTAACATATGTCAAAATTACTACAGTCAACTGTTTTTGTTCAAATGGTAGACTATATATTTTTTTCTCTATTCTGGAAGATATTTTGTTTCTGCGTTCAGCTATAGAAGGAAGTCTATAGTTTCATTAGAAATATTGCTAGAAAAACAGCAAAAAAGATGAACCCTACTTTCAGTAGCTTTATTCTGAAAAATGATGAGCCAGCTGCGGAAACAAGCTACTATGTTTTTTAAAGTAACATATTTTATTTTTAATGTAATAATAATATAACAATTTAAAATAATACTTATTTCAAATGTTCAAAATGACTTCCATTTGCTTCCAAACACATTCCAGTGTTTCTTCATTTAATCTCCGACATTCTAATCTTATGTTTCCACAGGTGTCAATATCATTTAGGTAAGGCCAGAGAAAGAAATCTATAGGAGTGAGATCCGGAGATCTAGCAGGCCATTTAACATATTTATCGAATGTTCTTCATCTCTTGCCCTTCTGGGTTTAAAAACTCTTCTTTTCTTTTAAAAACTTCCATCTGCTGCCAAATTCCTGGCTAACTTTCCGAATATTTTATCTGATGGAAGTTGTCTCTACGAAAAACGATGTTGGTATAAATACCTGGCAGTTTTAGCATTCTTTCGGTCCTCTTCATAATTAAATTAAAGTTATATCTAGTTTTTCTTGGTTACTGTAAGTATTCGTGTTATAATTAGTTATAGATAGAATATTTAGGTACAAAATGTCAATTATTTTAACAAACCGTTATTCAGAAACGTCAAAATTCAGTTGTTTCCGCAGCTGGCTATCATTTTTCAGAATAAAGTTACTGAAAGTAGGGTTCATCT